AGCAGATGCATGTGCCATACTGGGCAGCACAGGTCTTTCATTCAGGTAAAGTCCAGCAAGGACAAAGACTACAGGCTGACTGCTCTGGGCTCCTATTCCAGCTCTACTAATATCCAAATTTCTTTTACCTTCAGCTTTTGTCATAAATTGAGAGTAATTCCCTACTACACAGGGCAGTGAGGACAGAGACAAGATCACTCACTGTAAACATTAAGCTCTACTCCTGGCATTAATTAATATGAGACAACAGTGCAAGGTCCTGACCACTGGGCAGGTCTCCTGGTATATGATGGTAAGAGGATACAGGGTTTGCAGCAAGTATGGAATGGGTGGCCTTATGTGAATCAGTTCCCCTCACATGGGTTTTAGTATCCTCACCAGAAACACTAACATCTTCATAGCAGGGATGTTTTAAAGAGTTAACATAAAGTATACAAAGAACTTAGCACAGTGCTAGCACATGGCAGACAGTTAATGGTGGTTGTTATTTCTATATGTCAATGATGCTGAAAAATGTCAAGTTGACTTGCTTAAACAAAAGCATTTTCTTGTTTAATAGAAAAAGCTCTGGTTTAACAAAGTATTGAATGATTCAAATCAAGATTTAACCTGTTACTGTTTGCAGGGACTTCTTTTTAAAGTAGGGATTTTAAGTGAGAAAGTATCAACCCCATCTTTATGTACAAAATCCTTATGTACAAAACGTTCTGGGGCAAGATAAGTGACCTAATGCTTTTCTTTATTCCAGTTAAAACTATGTATTTGCTGCCATCCTTTTGGGGGGGAGGGGACACAGCACACTGATGTTTGGTTCATGAGGAAAACAACTGAATAGTTAAAATATTCTAAAACCAAGACCCTCATATAAACCTCAAGAGGCTATCTTTATTCACAACACATCTCTTTCCCAGTTACCTTCCCAAGTCCTCCATACATCGAGCCTGAGAGGGCGATGAGAACCGGAGTGCCAGAAACAGTAATTAACTAGCAATTCTCCAGATTAAACAAACCCAAAAGTCTACCTCCCAAACCACCTGGACCACCAAATTAGAGAGGAATGGATTTTAAGCTAAAATCTAGAGAGAGACAGACAATATCATAAAATCTTGTTCTATACATGCTAATGATTACAAATATTCATAAATGACTTCAGCTGGACCAATGGAGACAAGCTAGATCTTCTGCAAATCCACGATGTCGTAAAAAAGTCCACAGATGAAAAGTTAACAATTTTGCCTGATGAAAATGTTTAATGTCGTAATACATTTTACCTGGAACACTGTATGAATGACACAAAAGATTATTTCAAGTAAATACCCAGTCTTTCTAAAATAAGCATATAGTAACAAAATGGCTTTTACTTTGGTAAATGCTTTATTATTTCAGAACTTGTCACCACTGATAGCCTCAAATACCAAGACTACCACACCTAATGCCCAAGTCTCTGGAAGATGCATCTCTACAGGTGGCCCATGGGTCCTGGAACTGTGGTCAGTATTCCTTCTGAGGACCCGGAGCACCGCTCCTCTATGCTCTTGCCCCAGGAATGCCAGCCATGGCTACTCAATACACACTAATTAATTGAGTGAACCAAATTTCCTTAGTCTAGTTTAAAAGAAAGTATCCTGTTCTAATGGAAATAATTTAGACCCTATATGAACTGTAATAACTTGGTTATTAAAATATAAGAAAGTGGGTTGCCAAAGGCAGGGGGTTAACATAGGCAAAATGGGTGGTCACAAGGTAGGTACAAATTTCCAGTTATAAGTCATGGGGATGTAATGTACAGCATAGTGGCTATAGTTAATAATACTGTATTGCATTTCTGAAAGTTGCTAAGAGTAGACCTTTATTTATTTATTTTTTTGGTACGTGCCCCTAGTGGGAACTGAACCCGGGACTCTCTGGTCCGCAGGCCAAGGCTCCAACTGCTGAGCCAAACCAGCCAGGGCAAGAGTAGATTTTTAAAGTCCTCATCATAAGATTTTTTAAAAAAATATTTGTAACTATGTATGTTAACTAGACTTGTGATTATTTCAAAATATATACAATGTCAAATCATGTACACCTGAAACTAATGATCTATGTCACAATTATACTTCAATTAAAAAGTTTTAATAAAAAATAAGGAAGTATTCTACATTAGATAGCTTTTCACTTATTTCAAAAGGAAGTCAATCCCATTTTTTTTTTTTTTATCCTCACCTGAGGACATTTATGCATTTATCTTCAGATAGAGCGGGAGGGAGAGAGGAAGAGAAACATCAACTGAGAGACACACATGGACTGGTCGCCACCCACACAACCCAACCAGGGCCGGGGACAAATTGCAAGAGAGGTGCGTGCCATTAGCGGGAACCAAACCCAGGACTCTGGTCCGTAGGCCGACGACGCTCTGTTGAGCCAAACTGGCCAAGGGATCAATCTCATTTTTAGCACTCTCCCAGGGTTACCTGGATCTTTTTATTTTATCTAAACATGATCTAAAGCCTAAATTCTTGTCCTAGACGGGTAGCTCAATTAGTTAGTGTCATCCTGATACCCCAAAGTTGCAGGGTTCAATCCCCAGTAAGGCACACACAAGAATCAACCAATGAAGGCAAAAATGAGTGGAGCAACAAATCAATTTTCTCTCTCTAAAAATCAATCAATAAAACATTTAAGGCCTAGCGCTGGCCGGTTTGCCTCAGCAGTTAGAGTGTTGGCCTGCCGACCAAAGAGTCTCAGGTTTGATTCCGGTCAAGGGCACATACCTTTGTACCTTGGTTGTGGTTTGGTCCCCGGCCCTGAGAGGGTCCAGCTGGAGGCAACCAATCTATGTGTCTCTCACACCAGTGTTTCTCTCTCTCTCTCTCTCTCTCTCCCTCCCACTCTATCTGAAAATAAATGGAAAAATATCCTCGATGAGGATTTAAAACAAAACAAAAACATTTAAAGCATAAATCTTGATGTACTAAGTATTTATCTGTGATTTTTTGCTCACTGTCCAAGGGAATTAACAGTGATTTAAGACTGCCAAACCCAGCAAAATCTGCCTCTATAATGTTCCCATTTTTCAAAGAAAAAAATGCCTAGCCCTTTCTCCTTAGTGGAAACTTCATTAAAGGTAGGGAAAACATATCCAGCATTTGATTAACATCATCCCAGTGTCATTCACTTAACCTCATTTATTTCTCAGAACCATGCTATATGAAATAGGTGTTTTAAAAGTGAAAAACCATGGATCAAGAGTTAAGCAAATTTATTGAAGATCAAACCCGAAGGGACAAAGATGCATTCAAATACAGCAAAGTCCGGCCTCTATGCTTCTCTCTCCACTGCAACCATCTACACCAAAACTGAATAAATATAAAGAAATCTGGTATTAGCAACTGCATTCTATTTAATCTTCACTCCCGTAACTTAATTTTCATTATTAGCTCTAATTAAAATGGAAGTAAAAAACTAGTAAATATAATTTTATATAAACAAAGATTCTTTTAAACTACTTTTATTGTCATTGAATTATCAAGTATTTTAAAGTTATTTCATATAGTACATTTTTTGTTTACTGTTTGTCTAGGTAAATCTTATCAAATTTCAACACTGAAGATTCTTAAATGTTTTGGAGTTTTGTTGGAAAGTAAATGCCTATTTGTAGATACTGATATGCAAAAGTTCACAGTTTCATGTATGATCAAGTGTAATTTACATTACTCTAACAAACAGCCCCTTATAATGGAAATTCACTGTAAAACACAGATTTAAGCCTGGCACAAAGTTCTCAATAGTTTATCAAATGAAGTAAACAATCAATGCTACATAGGTACTTGGATGCTGCAGCGGTTACTCAATGCTTCCTTGTGGCAGCTTCACAGAGGATGCAAAACAAACTATGAGAAAAACTAATTCTCTGCAATATATGGTTAAAGGGACCCATATATCACTTAGAAATGGAAATTCTGTTGACCCCTTCAATATATGGGTAGTTAAGGACACAGATTATCATGCAAGTTAGTCTAAACCAGGTCAGCAAACTTAGGGCCAGTAAATAATTTCAGCTTTGGGGGTCATATAGTCTCTGTCACAGCCACTCAACTACCATTGTACAAAACAGCCACAGACAATGCGTAAGTGAATGAGCATGGCTGTGTGCCAATAAAACTTTATTTATGGACACTAAAATTTGAATTTCATGTGTCACAAAATAGGATTTTTTTTTTAAACCATCTAACAACGTAAAGATCATTCTTGGTTCATAGGCTATACAAAAACTGGTGGAGGGCTGGATTTGGCCTATGGGTAATAGTTTTCCAACCCCTGGTCTAAATATATATTCTGTTTTGACCTTATTTGCTGACAATTAGGTAACTTCTACTTCATTATTAAATTAGAACAATAATACAAAATCCCGCTTAAGGCTTTGTCTAAACTGCTGGTGTACAAATTTTTAAGATTGAAGTTTAAAACCACTTATTTCAAAATTAAATATATGGCTAGAACTGGCTAAGTTTCATTTATTTCTTGATGTCACATCTATAAAGCTCTCATGCACACAGCAGGGAACACACCTTCATTTCACAGTGGCATCTGGTTGTACTTCTGATTATAATACAGCAAGTGCAAGTTCACTTGGAAATGTACATCTACATACCTTATAGAAAATATGCTATACTGGAATGTGTACAGCAAAAGCATGATTTTAAAATTCCATGACTAGACCACTTCTGCTTGGCTTAATAGAAAATGTACCCAATCATTTAAAATTGGCCATTTGGGGAATAGGATAGTATATAAAATGTTTGTTATGTAAAATTTAAACATTTACCTTTTTATAAAATAATCTCCAAACTTTAAATCTTTTTATTGAATTATTATATGGATATACATTATTTTAGCAAGAAGATTTAGTGACTTGGCTAATTTTTAAAAAATTTGTTCATGAAATAACATTATTTTTATTAAAATAAAACAGTAGCTAAATCAATCTTTTCTTTCTACATTTAATGTGTTAGGGTTGCTTCCAAGTCAACTTCCCAGCCCCACCCAACAACAAAAAACAAACCAGTCTGAGACTCACTTGAGTGTTTAATTCAAACCTATATTTGCAGTTTCTAAAATGTTGATCCACAGACCACTTTCTTATTACACGTGTACCAATGAAAACAAAAGGCAAAGAGAATCACTGCCATCCCTACAAAAGGAATGGCTCCTTTTCTAACATTCTTTAAAAATATACATTGTACAGTCTTTGCACCTCACCAAAGGTGACGATGTAATAAATACACTGGCTTAGTTCTCCTCGCTGTTCATCAAGGTCCATCAAGGTCCACCAACTACCTGTTATAAGCCCTCTCCTTTTTGGATTTCTCCAGGGCTTTGTCCATGGTTTTCTCATTCTCCCCTCGACATTTGGGACAGTACCACTTGCCCTTTGGTTTATGATTCAGTCCTACACAGGAGAAGTGGAACCACTCAATAGGGCACTCGTCGTTGTCACAGCCGATCATTTCTCCATAGGAGACCTGATTGCACAGACAGTACGTAGGCTCGTTGGGGTCAATGGGAAGGTCTGCAGGGGATGCTTCCCTCTCTGCTTTGGCCTTGGAGCGTTTCTTCTTCTTGGAAGCCTTTGCTTTCTTCTCCTTTGGCGTTCCTGAGGTGATATCATCATGGTCGTGATTATTAGCTGCATTCTCCCGATTTTCATTGTTGCGCTGTCGTCGAGACCTCTTGTTGTTAGGCTTTTCTGCCTGTGTGATTGTCTCATTCTTAGACTTATCCTGGCCGGCTTTGCCACTGTGGCCAGTTGTGTCACTGACCTCTTGGTGTGCCTCAAAGAGTTCCACGTGACTGTCCACCTGCCTGGTCCGGTTCTCCACCAGCTCCACCATCTGACTTACAATCTGGATCTTCTCATCACCCAGCTCCTGGCTTCGGATCAGGGCTCTCTGAATGCAGTGCAACAATCTCCTCTTCTGGGTGCCATCCGTCTCCCGTTTAAACTTCTCATAATACTCATCTAGTTCCTTCAGGATTTCTGTAAAGGAAAAGAAAGCATTACACCCTTGCTATAAACACTACCAACCCTTTTACTTAATTTTCTAGTCTATGAAAAAATAATTGCAAGGATAGAAATAATCAATTCAAGGCTACCTAGTATTAAAAATCTTATAATGTGTATACCCTCCTAGTAGACTTTTTTTTTTTCTGTTGAAAAAAAATCCCTGCAACTAAATACAAATGTCAACATAGTTCTCATTTAGCAAAGTGCCACTCAAAGCTCCCCAAGGAATTCTGTGTGTGTTCAGAAGCACTAGTAACAAATACCCCTGGGATGGGCATTTAGGGAAAAAGTTCAAATTTAGATGAAGCCCTAGGACCCAATTTTTTTTTTGTTTTTAAATCCTCACCTGAGGATATTCTTTCATTTATCTTCAGATAGAGCAGAAGAGGGAAGGGGGGAGGAGGGGGAAAAAAACATCAATGTGAGGGACACATCTCTGGTTGCCTCCCACACAACCCCGTAACCAAGGTTCGTGCCCTTGACCAGAATTGAACCTGAGACTCTTTGGTCCATGGGCCGATGCTCTAACTGCTGAGCCAAACTGGCCAGGGTCAAATTTTTATTTTTAATAAAACTAATGACTATAATCCTGTCTTTCCATTGTTTATATTCAAATATTTTCTAATAATATAAAGGCCTTTATTCTTTTTATTTTAATGTGCCAATGTCTAGAATACCCTATATAAAATTATAGACTCTATGTAAACATTACTTATGACCCAGAGACTCAATTTATCAGTCACATCATTTTCATCCTAGCATGTTATTCCTCCCTATTACTGAAAACAAGAAAGGTTTGTTGCAATAAGCCAGACAACCTAGACTTGCTTTAAAACAAAGGTGGCAGATTCTGCTTTTCCATTTTAAATTTACTGCTTAAAACAATAACATATTTATATCTATAAATTATAAATTATTATCGAAAATAAATTAAAACCCCTCAATACTAAATTGAAACCTTCTTAGACAGATAGGAAAACAGTGTATATGAATTTAAAATGTAATTAGGCAATTTCTCAAGAAATAAAAGCTGTTGCCTTGCCAGTGTGGCTCAGTTGGTTAAACATCACTCCGTGGACCAAGAAGTGATCACTGGTACGATTCCTGGTCAGGATACATGCCAGGGATGTGCAGGGGGCAGCTGACAATGCTTCTCTCTCTCCCTTCCTCTCTAAAAAAGAAAATTAATAAAAAAATATTAAAAAAATAAAAATAGCCCTGGCCGTTTGGCTCATCGGTTAGAACGCTGGCCCTCAGACCAAAGAGTCTCAGGCTCGATTCCAGTCAAGGGCATGTACCTGGGATGCAGTTCAGTCCCCAGCCCTGGTCCGGGTTATATGGGATGCAGCCAGCTGGTCGATGTGTGTCTCTCACATCAATATCTCTATGTCTCTTTCTCTCTCTTCCTCCCTCCCACCTATCTGAACATAAATGGAAAAATATCCTCGGGTGAGGATTTAAGAATGAATGAATGAATAAATAAAATAAAAATAAAAGCTGTTGAAAAATCTGATTGAAATAAGGAAAGTAAACATTCTTGCCAAAAGCCTAAATACACAGGTAAAAATTTCCATAGTTCACACAAATAGTACCATTAAATAGTATTAGACTTTTCTCCTGAAAACCTTTCGCAGCCTCTCAAACTAAGGCAATTCTACTCTCCAACTAGAAAGTATGTGTGTGAGGGAATGTGGGGAGAAGATGTATAAAAGGTGACTATCATCCAGATCTTGTCTCAAAACAGTTATAAGGCATAAATCTAAAATGAGAGTAAACATATAAACTTAGGCAAACACTGAAGCTTAGTTAAACTGTAAGTATTATTTCCCAGGTTACATTCTTAAACTAAAGATAACTCTGAAGATATTTCCTAGAGGAACAATATAGACAGTTTCCCACCAGAAAGGAGGAATGCCGTAGTCCTACAGTCTCTTAGAGTAATAAATTCTGAAAATAAATAGCTACGCTCAACTTAACCCAAGTTCTGTTTCATAGATCTTAAAATGAGTTTTTGCCATTTATTTTTAAACAAACTGCACATCACAAAACTATCATTTGGTTTAATTAGTAACCAACTTTCTAGAGACAGTTTTAGCACTTCAAAGAAAAGAGAACAATTCTACCATATGGTTAATTTAAAATGTAATAAATATGGCTTCTTTTATGTCACAAGCAAGCTTACATCCATGTGAAGCCTCACTTGTGGGAAAGAAACAAACATCACAAAATTAGGAAAAAGTAATGTTATCTTCAAATGGCATGTATTTCTTGGACGCCCCAGGCAAAGTACTCTGTTAACAAAGCCACGAAAGTCAAATGGCTGTAAACAAGAATACCAGTGCCAACCAGGGAGGCATCTGGCCAGGATACCCATTTCTTCAGCCCCATCAGCTCAAACTGCTGCTGACCCTCTTGTATAAAAATGCTCCACAGCAACATTACTGTAGGAAAGCAATGGTACCATGAAAAAAAAAAAAGTAAGGATTAAATAAGATTGCAGCAAAATTTAATTTGATCTTTCCAATAATCAGAAAAGTATTTTAATTTTTACATAAGGTTTTGCACTTAAAGTTCTTTATGAAGTCAACTTCCATGGTGGGTGGGTGGGTATTAAAAAAAATAACACATGAAAAATAATTTAAAAATAATTTTGAATCCAATAATTCAAGAACCCCAAATATCATTTAAAATTGGTAAATTAATTATAACCCATCCTTATGAATTAATCTCCAACTGAGGCATAAGCAAAAGACTGTTAACCAACTTTGACTTCCAATACAATTCTTTAAAAATAAAAGCTTAATTTTTTAGAACTATGCTGCATTTATAGTAAGTCCCAACCAAATGAGTTATGACTGTTATCATGACAGATTGATTAGGCTTTACAGCTCACTCAACAGCACTGGCTCCGGTATGTGCCCTGGTTGGGTGGAATTCATTTTCTCCGCTGGAGCCAAACAAGCACCGCAGGGTGTATTAACTGAAGAGCGAAACAGGTTTCTTCACAGTAATGAATGAAAGAAAACAGGAACTTTAAAGGGATACTGACGTGAATGTCAGAAAATTTTAGAGAGACACTTTTTTTTTGGTCATCTAGGAAAGTGCTAAATTACAATGCCAATGACCACAAATTCTGCAAAGGCCGTGAAACCTTTAAATACAGCACCTCCGTTCTTCAATCACTGCACAACCCGAGCCATCCCGGGCACCGACCACCGAGAAGAGCTCCCGGCCACAGGTCACTCACGCTTACTCGGTTCCTCGCGGCCGGTGGCATGAGAGACATGAGCCGCGTCCTCAGCAGAGCCAGCAATGTAGCTAACAAGTCCCACCAGCGGCCTGAGGCACCTCCATTGCTCCGCGACCGGAAGTGACCGGGTCGGGTCCCTGAGGACCGGGGCGGAGCCGGGGACCAGGCCAATGGGGAAGTGGTCAGCAGGCGACGCACCCCACCCCGGGAACCACCGCCTATGAGGGTCGCTGGAACGGAGGGAGGAGGCCAGACAGGAAGCCAATCACAGTGCAGGGCTGAGTAACACAGCCCACCCAGCAGTGTCAACAGCCAATCCAAGGCCGGAAGCCGGGCGACCCGAAAACATTCAAATCAATTCAACCTCCTCCCTCCTCCCCGCCCCTCTACGAAAGAGAAAAAAGAAGGCCGCGGAAACAGACCTGTGCCAGTCACAGGGAAAGGCCCGCCCTCATCCGGCCCAGCAACCAATAGCTCAGCAGCGGACTGATAAGGACATTCCATGGGGACGCCACAGCCAATCATAAGAAGGCCGAAGCGGGACGTTCACAATATGCTAATAAGCTTCTTATAAATGTCGCTGCGAAAGCGAGTTTCTGGTAGAGCGCGCAGGGGCGCCTCGCCGACTGGCTATCTCCGTGCATTTTGCGGCAGGCGGTGGCTTTCCACCTCCCCCCACTCTTCCGTTTCCCTGCTGCGCAGCCTTGTAAACATTAGTAAACTCCGAGTGATGACCTACGTTCCAACCAGAGCCCCCAGTGCCGTGCCTGACCTGGCAGGAAAGTTTCCCCAACAGCCAACAATTCCCAGCGGACATGAATCCTCCGCTTCTCTCCGGCATTCTGGGCGACCGGGGCTGCAGACAACGACCCACAGGTCCTCCTGCCATGTTCCTCTCCAAGCCCACGGTCTCTGCACGCGCCCCCCGAGCGCAGCACAGATGGGCGACTTACTCGCCTCATCCTCCCCTCCCTTAACCACCGTACGCACAGAATAAAGCCCTGGCCCTCCGCAAACTACACCCGGCCGCGTCCTCCCCCGCTCGGTGTCCAGCGCCGCGGGAGGGCCGGGGGGCTGGGCGGGGGCGACCGGGGCTACACCGCGTATAGTACATACCCAGGACTTTATATAACACTCAGATTTGGGACTGGGTGGAGATGGCGAGCAGGGCCGGGGGACCCCCCTCATCCGCAGCGCCCTCCCAGCAGCCCTGCGCGTAGCCCCATCCCTGTGCCCCTCAGCCCTAGCGAACGCGGCACATCCCTCCTTCCGCGCCGTAGCTTGCGCCCCTGAGCCCCCTCCCCCGCAGCACCCCGCCTCGTCACTTCACTACAAAGAGCGCTTTGCTCGCGCAGCCTGGCATTGAGACCTCTCGTTTCTCCTTCCTCCTCCGTGTCCCGGCTTCGCGCACAAGGACCTTGGCGAATCAAAGACGCTCCAGACCTTTTGTTCCTGCCGGGCCAGGGCCGCCGCCGCGGGCCCACGGCTCCCCGGGAAGGGAACAGGACAACCCGCGGCCCCGCGGCGAGCCGCGACCCGCGGGGATGGAGCGACCGCCCCCGCCCATCCATCCCGCCGTACCTTGGTATTTCGCGTCGATCTCCCGCATCAGCGAGACGTTTCTCTGCAGGTCGAAAGGCAGAGACTCGATGGAGTCCAGGTAGTCCTCCACATAGTTCACCAGGTGGATCTGCTCCCCGTTGGCAGGGCTCAACATGGTTCACCGAGGTCCCCGGCGACTCGGCGCGGCTTTCCGCTTCCTCCAGCCCCCGCCCCCTCGGAGCCCAGCCCTGCAAAATGCAAACCTCCCGCCCGCCGGCGTCCCCCTCCTGCCGGCCCCGCGCCGCTACATCTGTGAGCCGCGCCGCCTGGGCCCGGGGACCCGGCGCGGGCGGGCCGGGCCAGCGCTCCGCGGCCTCGGGCGCGGGGCGGGCGCGGGCGGGCGTGCGGGCGCGCACCCCGGCGCAGGGGCCGGGGCCGGGCCGAGTGAGCGCGGGAAGGGGAGCGCGCTGGCCGCCGCGCCGCACTTGTCCAACGTGGAAAACCCAAATACCAGTTTCAAACACTTGGGAAACATTCGGCCCCCCGCACAGCGCATGCGCCCCACCACCCCCCACTACCCCCTCCCCACGGGCCCCGCCCCCGCCGCATTCACGCCCCTCACCGGCCCTGCCGCGCGGGGGTGTGGCTTTGTCTGTCACCTTTGCCGGGACGGGGGTCGCGGGGGCAAGAGGCGGCAGGCGAGGCGCAAACTTTACTATGAGTTTCGTACTTGGAGGCAGAGCCTGTCCGGCGCTGCTGCATGCCCGCCGGGTGACGCGGGGTGGCAGCCAGACCCGCCCAAGACTCAGGCGGAACCGACCCTGTCTCAGGACTGCCGCCTCAAGATCATCGCATGCCCAAGCAGCGTCCCCCGCTGGCCCTCTCAGCCCCTCAATCTCTGGTGCCCACGGCGCAGCAGGGTATAAGTACGTTTCGGAACAGATTGGCAACCCCGGGAGCCATTCCACTGCCGCCTTCATTTCAGTGGCCCAATCCACACGAAGAGAAGGCGGGACTTGGTCAGATAACTCCTTCAGGGTTCTTAACTACTATACAGTACTATAAACCCGCGTCCTGCGGAGGGGTGGAGACCGAGGGGTGGAGACAGAGGGCGGGCCGACCGGGGCGGAAGTGGTGGCTCATGCGCACTTGTAAGGCCAGGGAGGCCGCCGGCCCGCGCGGGACACCTAGTATTCGGTGGCCGGACCACCACTCCCAGCAATCTCGGCGGCTCTAGCGCCTGCGCGGTCCTCACCGCTCTCCCTTTGTGTCGCCGGCCGGAGCCCAGCTCCAAGCGGCTTGGAGACAAAGGGGCTCGCGAGGGGAGCTGCTTCCGGCCTGGGTCTCCGCAGACGGCGGACGACCCCGACCCGGTCTCGTCTGTGCTTTGGAACCTGCTGTCAAACTCCGCTCCCTCACTTCGAAAGACCACCTAAGCTTGGGCGGGCCAGGCGTCTTGTCGCCGGGATCCTGGGGTCTCTCCCTGTGCGGTTTCGACCCTTCCCCTACCCAGTGGCACCTCTCCGCACCCCAAACGCCCGGATTTGGGGCTTAAAAGCCTCGGCGCGGACGATCCCGTTGCCTGGACGACAGGTCGGCGCACACGCCCGCCCCTTTCGCCGGAGATTTTTGCTTTGTGGGCGTGGCCACTCCACCTTTGTCCGCCAGGCTCCGGCCTGCGCTGCCGCGCGTCCTTCCGGGCCGCGATCGCCCAACGCGGTTCCCTCCGCTTTCCCACCGGTTCTCCTCTGCTGTGAGCGCGTCCCTTCTTCCCCAAGGTGGGCGGGTTGTCTTGTCCTTTTCTCTAGCTAGCCCTGTAAATTAGTTTGACCCCGCAGCCTCGTGACATCTCTACCAACTCTGTGCCAGGGCAGTGCTCCGCTTTTCCTCCCGTTTATTAATTCAGAGGGATTCACCCTTAACTCCGAGTCTGCCCTATTGCCATATGGTAGGGCACAAAATGTAGACATGAAATAATTACATTGCAGTTCAAACGGGTGCAGTTCTGGTATTGAGACTCAGGGTGTTCGCGACCCAGCAATGTTGTGACAATCAGGAGCTTTGGGAATTTTTAAAATTACTGCATGTAATCCATTAATATCTTGGGCCAATCCAGTTTTTAAAAATAGATCATTATCCGTAGTGGGGACTCTTTCCAGCGATCTGTAGGGCATCTTGTGATACAGATATCAATACAACAAATGAGACTAAGTTGAGCTGTTCTGTCATTCGAAATGGACTGGAAGGTTACTGCGGTGACAAACGACATAATGTTTACACTTTGAAGTAAGTGGGTTTGTTCTTCACTCTTACTTACACTCCCTTATTTAACCCCCACATCAAGAGGATGTTCACTTTGATATTTGGGAAAATGATTGTGATTTTACTTACAGATTCACACGTTTTCCAGTCTTGGCTCAGTTAAAAACACATCATAAGGAAAGTTTCATTTCATACAAGAAAATGTATTGGCCACTGGTCTGCACAAAGGACTAATATGACATTATGTGGAAATAGAGATGTTACATGGAATAAAGAGAAAGTACAAAGTTGAATAAGACAAACTATACGTTTTTCTCTAACAGTATGTAAGCAGTTTTAAAATACAATAGGTTAGAGATATGTTCTTTAAATGCTTGCTTTCATTGGCTCTTGAATGAGTAGCGTTGTTTATCTGAACTTAAGCATAAAGGTTAGAAATCATTTATCCCTTTCAGTGATTATCAAGCTGGAGTTTGGAAGAGGTTATCATTTCTAAAAATCACGATACTATCTGAATATTGATTCCTCTTGTTTCATGGACTTTACAGACACTTAAAACACAAAGACATCTTATTCATTCAACAAGAAATATTTAATGAGTGCCTACCATGTTCTAGCTACTGTTCTGTGCCCTGGGGGTACAGTATTGAATAAAGAATTTACATTCTATATGACAGTTAATTTATCCCTTGGAGTAAGAAGTCAGAAAATATTTTATTAGTTTTACAAAGTTCTTAAAAGATATACCAATGACTTCACAGTTGTCTGAACAAGGTTAGAAGACCAATAGTTAAAACAATGAGCTGTGATCATGCATTTGTAATACACCACTAAGGAAAAGTGTTTAATTTTGAAGATACACTGAAGACTCTTGGTTGTTTCAGTTTTGCTCTTTGGAGTGTGTTGCAAAAATAGATATTAAATCTGTTTTTCTAAAATTATATTTCTAGTTTAACTGAAGATGCTCAAACCTAAGGGAGTAAAAGGTAAGAGATGAATATGCAATTCTTTATGTTTTGAAGTGCTTAAAAAAATAAATCAACACATTCATTTCAAACTTGAAATGCCCTAAACAATGCCCTTATCTTGTCTACTTTAGATTTACAAGATTTGTCTACTTTGGATTTACAAGAGTTTGCCTTGAAAGAAAATGTAATACTGATAACTACAATTTTTGTTATTATCATAAAGTAGTAAGAAATGACATTCATGATATTTTGGAATCATTCATTTTAACACACATACTTGTTCTGACATAGATAATTAAGGAGGGGCCACTTCATATGAACAAGATTCTTTTTTGGTATATAATCTCCCAAGTCACTTTTACTTTATGTTAATATTCAACCTGCCAGAGAAATCATATTTTTAGCGATCATTAAATAATAGATTATGTTTATCATTGTTTTGATGATTCCCAAAAGACTTAAGAAAAGGTAGACCTGCGCCCTGGCCGGTTTGGCTCAGCGGTTAGAGCGTCGACCTGCGGTCCAGAGAGACCTGGGTTCGGTTCCCGCTAAGGGCACGTATCTCGGTTGCAGTTTGTCCACGGCCCTGGTTGGGTCTTGTGGGTGGCAACCACTCGATGTTTCTCTCTCTCTCTCTCTCTCTCTCTCTCCCCCCCTCCCTTCCTCCTGCCCTCCCTCCCACTCTATCTGAACAAAAAATTGAAAAAAATGTCCTCAGGTGAGGATTAAAAAAAAAAGGAAAGGTAGACTTGCTGTGAGTCATGGGCTGAGCACATTACATGACCAGTTTTCTGAAGACAAAAGATACCATTGTTAATTTTAAAAGTCATGATATCTACGGACATTTCAAATTTTGCATCTCTCCCAGATTTGTGTGCAGGATTTGGTCTTCAATGTTATTAAATCTGTTTTCAGATTTTTTCCCTTGCATTATGTGTATTGTCACAGATTGCAGTCAAGCCTTTTGTTCATTTTCTTATTTTACTGGCACACCTAGTAATTGGATTAGAGCTTCCTCTATCAGATATTGTACCACCCAAATTTCCTCCCACCTGCACAACAGGTAGTTTTTTAGGGATTAATTCAGCACCTCTTTTCTGAATTTAGTGCGGGATACAGTGCGAGATTCAAAAGAATTTACATTCTAAAGTACTCATGGAAAGAACTATGCATATTGTACTATAAATGAGATAATTACAAAATAACATCAAGTATGCAGGCAGTGAGGAAAGGATAATTAATACTCAACGTTCACGTTGAACTTTGAGTAGTTAGGGAGCACTGCTTAGCTAGCATTGATGCTGTGGTCTCTTAATTCTCAACAACAGATTCTAACATTTTAGTGTTATGTATAGAACATAGTTCACATTAAGCTACAGTTCAGCTTGAAACAGAATTGCAGTTTGACTCCAGGGATCTTAAGTGCTCTAGGAACCTACTAGTTTGTCTCTACTTAATTATTTGCCTTTCAATAGAACTAACTAAACAAACAAACAAAAAGAACTGAGCAACCTATGTTTTTTTGAGGAAAGCAAAAGCAAAGATTTATGTTATTTTTTGAAACACAGTTTTGCAAGATATCAATAGAGGAGCACGTTTGTCGAGATAATTTTAAAGTAACTTCAAGTGAAACCACCTTTAAAAAGTCCCACTGAAACAGAAATTCAGAACTTTTTTTTTTTCCTTTATTTATTTTAGAGAGAGAGAAGGAGAGAGATAGAAACACAGAACATCCACTGGCCACCTCCTGCAGGCCCACGCCCTGGATCTGGCCCACAACCTGGGCATGTGTCCTGACCAGAATCCAAACTGGGGATTGTTGGTGTACAGATCGATGCTCAACCACTGAATATTTTTGTTCTTTAAAAAAATTTTTTTTCTTTATTGATTTTAGAAAGAGAGGAAGGGAGAGGAAGAGAGAGAGAGAGAGAAACATCCATGAGAGAGAATATCAGTTGGCCGCCTCCTGCATGCCCCCCACTGGGGATTGGGCCCACAACCTGGGCATGTGCCCTGACAGTGAATCTAACCGGCGCTCAACCAGAGCCATGCCAGCAGGGCTAATGTTTTTATTCTTAAGAGACTAGATGATAGATCTTTTAGCCTTAAAATGAATCACAAGCAGACATTTCCTACCACGTGTGCTTGATGAATGGGTGCTTTCCTAGCGTTGGTCTTTCATCCGGAGACTGAGAAAGAGGGTGCGTGTTGGGATGCAAACATGTTCTGGGTGTGTGCGTCTATTGAGGTGCATATGTGTGTGCGTGTTGAGGTGCAAACGTAATTCGCGAGCACGCGAGGAACCAGCGGCAGGTCCCCGCACTGTGAACTGCAGCTCGCAGAGACTTCCCGCGCCCCGGACGGGGTTCACACCACGTCAGCACCCGAGCGACCTGCGCCGATGAGGAGAGGTGTCCCTCCTCCGGGTGGTCGGGAATACCTCTTCCTGCAGCCTGGTGCTCCGACACCGACCCCGCCTGCTCCCCTCTTCCTGTCCGGATTCGAACCCTTGCCCTCCATCTGCGCCCGGGCGGATGTCGACTGGCCAGACGGAGGCGGCACCGCTATTTTGGGGTGGGCGGGGCCGAACCAAGCCCTTTTCCGGGATGGGCGGGGCTGTACCAGCTCCTTTTCCGGGATGGGCGGGAGCGGGGCTGGTCCTATTCCGGGGTGGAGGTGGCCGTGTCCGTCCCATTTCGGGGTGGGCGGGACCCTGCCGGTCATCTTCGTGGTGGGCGGGGCTTCTGCTGGGCAGCCCCTCCCAGGGTAGCCGGGGCGGGGCCGGGCCGGGCCCTTTGGAATGGGCGTGGCGAGCTTCCCAAGCTTCCTTGAGGTGCTTGTTCTGCGAGGCTCCGGGGCCTGTCATGCTGCGGGCATTCGGGGCCGGTTTGGGCGCTCCGCTCCTACGGGCCACACTGGGCCTGGGGCCCGGGCCAGGGCGGGGAGTGTTGGGGGCGTGCGGGCAGGGCTGGCTGCAGCCTACAGGCCACGATACGGGCGTCAAGGTGTACAACAGCCTCACCCGCAGAAAGGACCCTTTAATCGTGGGCAGCGCGGACGCTGCCTCCTGGTAGTTACTGGGGATTGTGGGGAGCGGGGACTTGGGGAGGTGGGGCGCGAAGGATTGTGGACCGAGCGTTTTGTGTGGAAACCAGGGTTGGGTTGTCAGGTGGAAATCATTTAGTAAGTAATAAAACACATGGTAGGCACCATTGAAGCGTTTTGGTATGAATTTGGCGAGTCAAGTAATAATGTATTTCCAGATGTACATTTCACAAAAGTGGTTACTTAAAAAAACAAATACAAAAGGACATGGTTATGTGATAATCCTAACTGAGAAAGTGGTGTCTTTTCTTGCAAATATGTTTCACATGATGGATTTTAACTTTGTTCCTAGGTATAGCTGTGGACCAACTGTCTATGATCATGCACACCTTGGCCATGCTTGGTGAGTGTTCTGAATTGGAATTTCCATTTATTTGGGGGGGGGGGAAAGCCTTTTGCAGGTTTTTTCATCTCTCAAGTGGCTACTTAAGAATACTCAAGCCCTGGCCAGTTTGGCTCAGCGGTTAGGTTAGAGCGTCGGCCTGCGGTACAGAGAGACCCGGGTTCGGTTCCCGCTAAGGGCACGTACCTCGGTTGCAGTTTGTCCCCGGCCCTGGTTGGTCGTGCGGGTGGCAACCACTCGATGTGTCCCTTCACATCGATGTTTCTCTCTCTCTCTCTTCCTCTCTCTCCCTCCCTCTCTGTCTGAACAAAAAAATGCAAAAATGTCCTCGGGTGAGGATAAAAAAAAAAAAAAAGAAAAAAGAATACTCAATAATTATTACTATATTCCAGGTATTGTGGGACACACAATGTCAGAGCCTCATTTGGTTCTTTTAACAGTTCTAGACACTTAGACCAATTTCACAGGTGAGGCAACTCAGGAAGCAATGAGGAGCAGTGAAAATGACCTATTTTGGAATTAGTTGTTTCTTGATGGGTTTAGTGAGATGAAGCCTTTGCAGTGGCCCTGGAATCAGCTGGTTAGGATTTATGTCGATCCCACCATTTATTTACTTGTCAACTTCGGACAAGCCACTTTAATACTTTGAGTCCTGGTTTCTGCATCTTGAGATGGGAGTGATACTAGTATCCATTTTTCTTAAATCCTCACTCAAAGATATGTTTATTAATTTTTAGAGAGAGAGAGAAACATTGATGTAAGGACATCCATCTGGCCCAGCTATGCAGCTCAGTGGTTGACCATCAACCCATGCACCAAGAGGTGGTCGGTTCGATTCCTGGTCAGGCTACATGCCCAGGTTGTGGGCCCAATCCCCAGTTGGGGGCAAGTGGGGTCAAGCAGGAGGCAGCCAGTGTTCTTGCTCATCTATGTTACTCTCTCTCTCTCTTCCTCTCTCTAAAATCAATAAAGAAAAAAAATGTAAAAAAAAAGAACATCCATCTGTTGCCTCCTGTACACTCCACCTAGGTATGTTCCCTAACCGGGAACCTTTTGGTATAAGGGCTGACTCTCCAACCAGCTCAACTACCCAGCCACGGCAATAGTATTATTCATCTTTTTGCATCTTCACAGTTTATGAGATGGCTGCTTATCTGAAGTGTGATGTGTAGTGAGGGCTCAACAATTATTGACGATAAATAACCTACATATGTCACACATATGGGAAGTGTTGAAGCTAGGGTGGAGTACGGTGTATATCTAACCTCTCATTTGTAAAAATTGCCACTTTCCCTAATATTTTGTATAGTCTCTTTTAAATCACTTAAACTTGTTATTGTTTAGATCTGAACTAAAACTAAAAAGTTGCCTTTATTTAGTACACATTTTAAAAAAATTATTATTACCCAATAAAATCTGAACTTTTTTGTATTTGTTATAACAAAATAAATGGTCTAGGAATCATTTTTTTCCCTTCAATTTGGGCTAGCTTACTAATGATAAAAAGCATATTTTGATGTCTTTATTGAAGTATAAAATATGTTGGGGAAATATTAAAATAAATAATTTCCCAACCTGCAAAGCTTTTCCACAAAGGCAGAAGAGAAAGAAATCAATTTTATTATTGAAGAAGCATTAAACCAGAATGAGATATACATTATAGGCAACCTGCTAGAATGACTGCAAAGACAGAAAGAAATTATACTCTTCTATAAAACTAAATGGATACCACTCACTAGTTAGGCAGGCTTTGCAATGTGGAGACTGGTGACAAATTAGGCCCACCTCCTCCCATAGGGAGATAGAGCATTATTTTTCTGACTTCATTTTAAAGAGAGAGCTTCCAAGTTCTTGAAAGTTTCCTGAGTTGTGACACTGACAGAGTCTTATTTAGTCATTAGAAAGATTCACATACATTTTATTTTATTTTTTTCTTTATTGATTTTAGAGATAGAGGAAGACAGAAGGAGAGAGAGAAACATTGATGAGAGAGAACATTGATTGGCCACCTCCTGCATGTCCCCCACTGGAGATTTGGCCCACAACCTGTGCATGTGCCCTGTCTGAGAATTGAACCAGCAACTTCTTGGTGCATGGGTTGATGCTGAAGCACTGAGCCAAACTAGCCAGGCAGATTTACGTATATTTTAAAAGGACTGAGGAAGAGATTCTGAAATGAAGGGGGAGTGGGGGAGAGTCTCTTCTCTTATTTTCAACTAGAGAATCAAACCTCTAAGTTACAATTTGCCCTTACAAATGTAGAAAAGATTACAAATCTTAGGTGTACAGCTGAATGAATGTTCATGGCTCTTAGATGGAGAAACAGAACATTACCAACACCCAAGCCTCCACTGTATCCCCCTTCATCTCTCCTTTCCCCCACCCCCACTCAGGGATAACCACTATGGAAGTTTTGCTGGTGAGATAGAACCCATTCCTCAAGAAGAGTTATTCAGTTTAAGATGCCCCTTTGAGGTAGAAAACCTAAGTATCATAAGATTTCTGAAAAAGTTGGGAGGTCTCGGGGGCAGGAATGGTCAGCCCTGGCTTATTGCTCTTAAGGTAAGGTTCAGAATCCTAAGGACATCTCTGTAGTTCTACATGTCTGTCTCTGCTTACTCTCCATATTCATGTATCCCCACTTTCTTCCCCAGGTAGCCTCTATTAAAAAATAAAACAAAAAAATAAACGTATAGTTAACAGGAACAGATAGCATTTGCTATGCGTCAGGCACTGTTCAAAATGCTTTATAAATATCAGCCAATGTAATTCTCCTAATAACACCAGGTGGCAGTGCTGCTATTTTTAATTTTATTAAATTAATTGGAGTGACGTTGGTTAATAAAATTATATAGGTTTCAGGTGTACAATTGTATAATACATCATCTGTATATTGCATTGTGTATTCACTCAAAGTCAAGTCTTCTTCCGTCATCATGTATTTGATCCCCTTTACCTTTTCTACCTCTTCCCACCGCTCCTTCCCTCTGATAGCCACCCTACTGTTGTCTGTGTCTGTGAATTTTTGTTTGTTCATTTATTGCTTTCAGTTTTACATCCCACATATAAGTGAAATTATATGGTTCTTGACTTTCTGATTTATTTTGCTTAGCGTAATACTTTCAAGATCCATTCATGTTGTTGCAAATGAAAGTATTTCATCTTTTCTGATGGCTGAGTTATATTCCATTATATATATGTATATACCCCACTGAGTCAAACTGGCCAGAGCCATACCACATCTTCTTTATCCAATGATCTATCGAAGGACACTTCATGTCTTGGTCACCATGAATAATGCTGCAGTGAACATAGGGGTACATATATCTTTAAAAAAAATTTTTTTGTGTGTTGATTTTTTAGAGAGAGAGGAAGGAGGGGAGAGATAGGAACATCGATGTGAGAGAGAAACAGCAATCGGCTGCCTCCTGCACGCCCCTCAGTGGGGATCGAGCTCACAACTGGGGCATGTGCCCTGACTGGGAATCGAACCAAGACCTCTCAGATACTCAATTCACTGAGTCACACTGGCTGGGCAGGGTATATATATCTTTAAAAAAATTTTTTTTCGTTATTGATTTTAGAGAGAGTGGAAGGGAGAGGGAGAGAGAGATAGAAACATTGATGAGAGAGATCATCAATTGGCCGCCTCCTGAGTGCCCCCCACTGGGGATCTGGTCCACAACCTGGGCATGTGCCCTGACCGGGAATCGAACCGGCGACCTCTTGGTGCATGGGTTGACACTCAGCCACTGAGCTACACTGGCCAGGTAGGGTACATATATCTTTATGAGTAAATGTTTTCAAATTTTTCAGGCAGATACCCAGAAGAAGGATTGCTGGGTCATATGGTAACTCTATTGTTAATTTTTAAAAGAACTTCCATGCTGTTTTCCAAAGTGGCTGTACCAATTTACATTCCCACTAGCAGTGTATATGAGGGTTCATTTTTCTCCACAACCTCTGTAATACTTATTATTACTTGTGATAATAGCTAGTCTAACAGTTTGTGAGGTGGTAGCTTATTGTAGTTTTTAAAAAAATTTTTATATTAATTTATCTTTTTGTTACAGATGTCCCTCTGCCCCCCCGCCCCATTGACACCCTCCTCCCTGCTAGCATCCCCTCCTCATCATTGTGATTTTGATCTGCATTTCCCTAATAGCTAGTGAAGTTGAGCATCTTTTCATATATCTGTTGGCCATTTATATGTCTTCTTGGGAGAAGTGTCTGTTTAGGCCCCCTGCCCATTTTTTAATTGCATTGTTTGTTTTTTTTTTTTTTTTTTTTTTTTATCCTCACCCGAGGACATTTTTCCATTTTTTGTACAGATAGAGTGGGAGGGAGAGAGAGGAAGGAAGAGAGAGAGAGAAACATCGATGTGAAGGGACACATCGAGTGGCTGCCACCCGCACGACCAACCAGGGCCGGGGACAAACTGCAACCGAAGTACGTGCCCTTAGCGGGAACCGAACCCGGGTCTCTCCGGACCACAGGCCGATGCTCTAACCGCTGAGCCAAACTGGCCAGGGCGCATTGTTTGTTTTTTGTTGTTGAATTGTATGAGTTCTTAATATATTTTGGATATTAATTCCCTAACAGAGGTGTTGCTTGCAAATATCTTCTCCCATTCAATTGGTTGTCTTTTTTGTTTTGATGATGGTTTCTTTTGCTGTGCAGGAGCAATTTAGTTTGATATAGTTCCATTAATTTATTTTTGCTTTTACTTCTCTTGACTTTGAGGTTAAACTTATAAAATCCTCTCTAAGTCCAAGGTCCATAAGTTTGGTACCAATGTTTTCTTCTATGTATTTTATTGTTTCAGGTCTTATATTTTGGTCTTTGATTCATTTCCAGTTAATTTTTGTGTATGGTGACAAATAACAGTCAAGTTTCATTCTTTTGCTTGTGGCTTTTCAATTTTCCCAGCACCATTTATTGAAGAGGCTTGCTTTTCTCCATTGTATGTTTTTGGCTTCTTTGTCAAAAATTATTTGCTCGTATATATATGGGTTTATTTCTGAGTTTTCAGTTCTGTTCTGCTGATCTGTATGTCTGTTCTTAGTGGCAGTGCTATTATTATCCCCAAATTACGAATGGGAATACTGGGGTGCAGAGGGCTAACAGAACCAGCCTCCAGTGAGGAACCTGGCAGATGGCTGAGTTCACATTCTCCACCCCCACTATGGTGCAGCCTCACGGGACTCATGTGAAGTGGCCCCTGGGGAGCAGCCCACCTGCAGTATCTCAGGGCCTTGCAGCCCTTGAACTCCTCTGGCACAAGCATGTGACTTGACTTTTGTTTTCACTGTTTTGTGTCTGTTAACTTTTTCTCTTAAGTCTCATGTCTTGTAGAGTCTTTTGTTATTCAAGATGAATGAAGGGTGTAGTGATGATAATCGTAATAATAGCTCATGCTTGTTGGAATTTGTGCTGCACTAAGATTGTGTGTAACAGTCGTATGGGATAGTGGAATTTTGCCCAATTTATAAATAAGCATCCTGAGGTTTCAAAAGTTTAAATATCTTGGCAAGAGTTTCGGAGATAGTTTTGTCACTAGAATGGAAGGCTTTGGCCTCAGCTGTGTTTGGGGTGAGTGAGGGAGGGAGGTTCAAGGGATGCAATGATGAGGCTCATTTTCAAGGGGAAATGATTTTGTGAACTCAGATTTAGAGAGGCCACGTGGACAACAGAGATGAGCATGAGATTAGCTGACCTTAGCTTTTTGATGTTGCTTTTATGGGAAAACAGATTCTTGAAATTTTGAATGGATCTTAATGGATTATAAAACAGTTCAGTTTTATAAGTGTGTTTCCCCAGTGTAGTCAACCAATGAGCTGATGTGTTAATATTCTACAATAGTGTGCAAATTTTTTAGGAGTAACCTTATACAACTTTAATATTTGTTTTGTTTTGATTTGTAATTACTTGTTATTTACTTCTATTTTGTCATAGTGAAACATTATAGTTATTGGAGAACGTGAAAGACGATAAATGTTCTCAGTATTTTAACTGCCTAGTGAGACTGTATATTATGAATAATTTTATACAATTAAATAGATGTAAACTCACTTGAACAACAGCTCTAAAATTAAAATGCTAACATGTATCCTGAAACTGAGGCAGTATACCTGTGTTGATTTCTTGTGAGGACCACTGTGGACCAGTCAGTAAAAATCTATTCCTTTTTCTAACTGCCCTTGAACTATCAGATTATATTCCACACTTGAAGTCAGGCAGCAGTGTGTTAAAATGTAATGCACTCTTTTTTAAAGATCACAATGATGACTCAGTGTATTAAAGACTCCCTAACATTTCTTTTCTTTCAGCTCGTATGTTAGATTTGATATAATTCGAAGGATCCTAACCAGGATTTTTGGATGCAACATCATCATGGTGATGGGAATTACAGATGTGGATGATAAGATAATTAAAAGGGCCAATGAAGTAAGTGTTGAAGATTATATTGATTGATAACTTGATCGATGAGTGTTCTCACCTCTGTGACAGTTTTTCTCATTTGTTTTTCACAAGTACTTTTTCCATCTTACTGTCCACACATGGCCCAAAGAGTGTACTCTGACAGGTAATCCAGGGATCTGTTTGTCCTGGTAAAGGAAGTTCAGGTCTATTTGATTTTGATCCCTGAAGCCTTTAATGAATTGCCTCATTCTGTGGGGGCCTCCTGATTTGAATCTGTAATCTCTTACTTGGCCCCTCCGCCTCGAGGTAAAGTCTTTACAGAGGGAAGTCAGAAAGCCACTTTTGGGCTAGGAAAATTTAGCTCATGTGAGATTTAATTTTCTCATTTGTTAAGAGTGAACAGGGCACTTCTCTTATATCTCACATAACATTTAAAGGAAGTTTTGGGTGGGGGGAATTCTAATGAAGGATGAAATGAATAGTTATATTTTTAAAAGTCTACTTTTAAAGTTTCACCTCTTCTGCTTTTTATAATTAGCAACTTTAACAATCATCTCTAAAGAGCTATAAATAATTATTAAGTTATCTAATTTACAGAAAAAATTATGTTGAGTACTTTACATTCCTGTAATTTTACAAAATGTATGTCTATCTATCTATATAGTACTTTTTTAGAAAACCAGTCTATGCTTTGTATTGTCTTACAGTTTGTTTTTTATACTTACTAAATTTTGTGATTGTTCATGTTTTTAAATATTGTTGAACATTTTAAAATAACCTTATAACATTCCATCATATGGGCATATCATAATTTACCTTCTTTGTTTTTGGACCCTTAGGTTACTTTCATATTCTTCTGTTTTCTGTCAAATTTATTTTGTAGAAACCACATCTTTCTATTTTCTACTGATTTTCCTTTTCAGTAACTAGATAGCATTTCACCATGGGTAGCTGTTTAGCAGTTTCCCTACACCCCCTGTCATTGACTATTTGTGTTGTTTCTAGCTGTTAAAAATGGTGCTACAATGAATATCTTTTTTGTTTCCTTAAATATTTTTTTCCAGTGGAACCACTAGGTTCAAGGATGAACAGTGTATTTGATAAGTTTTTACTCTCCTTAAGACAGGATCTTTTTAGAGAAGTGGGGTTTCCCATTTCTATTTTGTTTGGGTAGTTTAGTCAGTAATCCCTTGCAGCAGACTCAATTTCCATTTCCAGAAATGGCCCCAAGCATGCACTGAACATTCGGGTCAGACCTGTGCCTGTCTTTGTGCAAAGAGAAGTGGGGAAGGCAGTTCCTGGTCTTATGGAGCTTGTGTCCTGTGAGGCAGAGGGACCTACAGACAGATGCTCTGTAGGTAGTTATAAGATAGTTTATCTTGTTGGCCCTGATATAGGGATGCAAAGATTACCCAGCTTCCCTGGACTTCCAAAATGACTCACTGGAGGAGATTAGCCCACACAGGATCTTAAGCATTAGGAAGGAATCGACCTGTGAGGAGCAAGAATGGAAAGGATATTCTAGAGAGGGAGGGCGCGAAGGGAGGCAGAGAAGGGGCATGAAGGAGTGTGTTCTGTCTGGGAATCAATCAATTCTGTGTTTTGGGGACATTTGAGAGAGCCTGCAGGTGACGCTGTAGAGCTAGTAGGGTGTCCTGGGGTTGGATGGCATATTGAGGACTTGGGCATCATTCTGGAGGCTCTTGGGATAATCTAGCACAGGATCTGTTTGGTCCATTGAAAAGAGCTCACTCTGGGGGTGAGGAGGGACACAACTAGGGATGGGGCCACAGGGAGGGGTCAGTGGGAGCCATGCACAGAGAGAGGGCATGTCTCAGAGAACAGACTGTGAGGAGAGCGAGGGTGATTTTGAGGTACCCAAAGAAATCCAAACCAACCTGGATGTAGAAATCAGAAGTTCAGTGAGCTCAGGGCTGTGGTATAATAAAATATATATTTGGTCTTTGTCCGTGGTTCTTGGCACAGAGTTCCTGATACCACAGAATTTCTGGAGTCCTGGAGTGTCTTCTGTATGCGAATGAGGTGACTGGTGGCTGGGGCCCCGGGATGGCTTCAGGACAGGGGCTGAAGCCAGGAACAGAGCCGGGAGCTTGCACTCCCACCCTCATTCCTCTACCCCTCCTGGGAGGGAGGGTGGCCTGAGATGGAGCTGGTCATCAGGAGCCGATGAGTCAGTCAACCCTCCAAGTAATGAAATCTCCATAAAACCCCAAAGAACAGGGTTCGGGAGCTTCAGGGCTGGTGAACACAGGGAGGTGCTGGGGGTGTGGGGTAGGTGGGGATACGTCCTGAGAGGGTATGGGAGCTTCTCCCCTTTCTTATACCTTGCCCTGTATACCTCCTCCATCCTGGCTATCCTGAGTTGGGTCCTTTTAATAAACTGGTAGTAGTAAGTAGAGTACTTTCCTGAATTGTGTGACTCTTTCTGTCTAACCCCCAAATCTGTAGTCAGTGGGTAGAAATACAAGTGGCCTGGTGGCCACCATTTGCAACTGGTGCACATTATCACCCTTCACATAGGAGGAGACAAGGGTTTGAGATTAAAGTTGACCTCCTTGGCTGGATTTGGGATGAAAACGACAGAAAGAAATTCGTGATCTCTGATAGAGGGAGGGAATGAGCAGTGTTAAGTAACACCGCAGCAGGGGTGGCATTTGGAAACACAGGTCTTTTGGAAGGAAGGTGAACAAGTCAGTGTTTCATCTGTCATTGCATTCAGCTGGAACCTGAGATAGTGCAGATGTGTCCCTGCCTTTGGTGAATGGGGGTCTGCTGAGACTCTTCAAGATCGGAGGTGAAAACATTGACCTGAAAGTCGTGAGAGAGTGTCTGGTGGGAAGCTGGAGACTAGTCAGGCTCGGCGTGGGAGAGGGGAGGGGAAAGAATATGGGTGGGTGGGAGACCAGGGCAAGAGCTGGGGGGATGTGCTGGGAGGGGGCAGGCAGGACTGTGGGTGGTCAGCAGAGTGGTGGAGAACCAGGAGTCCAGGGAGGGGCAGGTTTCAGGAAAGATGGAGTCAGGCAGCAGTAAATGCAGGAAGAATGAGGGTTACTTAGAGGATTTCACAAATACCACCAGGAGGCATTGGTTGTTAATTAAACATTTTTTTATAATACTTAGAATATGAAAAGTTGGTAGAATTGGTTTAAAGATCCTAAATATAAAGAGTGTTTAATTTTTGACACCTGAAAATTTCCATGTTTGTTATGTGGCAAGATGCTAAAATGGCACTAAATTGTTTGTTTGTTTGTTTATTTTTAATCCTCACCCGAGGACATTTTTTGATATTTTGTTCAGATAGAGTGGGAGGGGGAGAGAGAGAGAAACATCGACGTGAAAGGGACACATCGAATGGTTGCCACCTACACGACCCAACCAGGGCCGAGGACAAACTACAACCGAGGTACGTGCCCTTAGCGGGAACGGAACCCCGGTCTCTCTGGACCGCAGACCGATGCTCCAACCACTGAGCAAAACTGGCCAGGGCAGTTTGTTTATTTTTTAATATTTTTTCTTTATTGATTTTAGAGAGAGAGGGAGGGAGCAGAGAGAAATGGAAACATTGATGAGAGAGAACATTGATTGGCTGCCTCCTGCATGCCCCCTACTTGGGACTGGGCCAACAACCTGGGCGTGTGCCCTGGCTGGGAATTGAACCAGTGACCTCTTGGTGCATGGTTTGATGCTCAACCACTGAGCCACACAGTCTGGGCTAGTTTTTTGTTCTCTAAATATTATCTTTAAGATGGTACCTGAAACACATAGCTATGAAAACACCTGTTTGTTTTTTAATATGTAACAAAAGGCTATTCTTTTTTTATCTAATGCAAGCTTTTTAAATGATGGCAATATCTTTCATGCCATCTGCTCCAATATTTGCTGTTAAAATATTTAAAATGATAATATTATGCTTTTCTGAATCACTCCCTTGACTTTAATTTTTTGTTGTTGTTAATCCTTACCCGAGGCTATTTTTTTGTTTTGTTTTGTTTTGTTTTATCCTCGCCCGAGGACATTTTTCCATTTTTTTGTTCAGATAGAGTGGGAGGGAGAGAGAGAGAGAGAAAGAAACATCGACGTGAAAGGGACACATTGAGTGGCTGCCACCCGCACGACCAACCAGGGCCGGGGACAAACTGCAACTGAGGTATGCGCCCTTAGCGGGAACCAAACCCGGGTCTCTCCAGACTGCAGGCCGAAGCTCCAGCCGCTGAGCCAAACTAGCCAGGGCCCGAGGATATTTTTCCATTGATTTTTAGATAGTGTGGGAGAGAGAGAGAAACATCATTGTGAGAGAGACACATTGGTTGGTTGCCTCCCAAATGACCTCAACCGGGGTTGGCAATTGAACCTGCAACCCAGGTAAGTGCACTTGACCGGGAATTGAACCCGTGACCCTTCAGTCCTTGGGCTTACACCCCAACTACTGAGCCAAACTGGCTAGGGCTTGACTTTAATTTTTGGCACAGTTTTATAGTTTGTCAGGGATAAAAACCGTCAGAGGATTTTGAGGGTAAGAATCAAGGGGCATGGTGTACTTGCAGTCACATTTTGTGTTAAGAAAAATTGTAATAAATGTACCAGAGTGATTCAAGCCAAAGTTATTCTTTTTGTGCTTCAAAACACTGTCTACGCTGCCCTTCTTCCTGGGAAGAAGGCTGGACACTCCATCTGAGTGCTGAGGGCACGACCAGCAGGGTTTCCTGCCAGGGAGAGAGCTGACTTGAAGTGAGGGGTGAGAATAAAGGAGAGCCGGACAATAATCTGAGTTAACAAGGATGAGGACCCCATTTCAGCACCTACGTCCTCCTAGTTTGTTTTCTGGAACATGAGAGAGCAGCTGTGATCAGCTGCTTAAAAATTAAATTAAAAAATTTTAATTTTGGAATATGATTCTCCCTCTTTTCCCCAAGGCCAGCAATAGATGGAATTCCTCTTGCAGTTCATTGTCACTCGTGAACATTTCTGACCCATGTCCTTAGGGTTTTGCCGTGTGGGCTAGAAAGAAGCCCCATGTGTTATTTGTTCAGGTAATGTTAGACTTGATAAGTCATTTATTTATTTATCTATGTATTTATATATTTATTTTCATTGTTGTATTACAGATTTCCCCATTTTTTCTCACATCATCCCCCTCCCAGTTCTTGCTGCCCCCCAGGCCTTCACTCTGTTGTCTTTGTCCTTGGTTTATACATATATGCATATAAGTTCTTTGGTTAATCTCTTTTAATAAGTCATTTAAAAGAGAGAAAGAGAAAGAACGTGTATGTCCATATTATTTCCCCCTTCTAGAACTAGACAAATTAATTCTAAAGTTCATATAGGATAGCAAAAAAAGCAAGAATAGCCAGGAAAAGTATGTAAAAGAAGAGCATTGAAGAGGGAGCGGCCCTACCAAATAATAAAATGTATTTCAAAACCTAGAGACAATTTTTTGTTTTCATATGTTCTTTTTTTATTGAACAGCTTTGTTCAGGTAGAACAGACCCACGATAAACTGCATATAGTGCACACAAGATGTACAACATGATAAAACTTGCACACCTGTGAACCCGTCACCAGTATTGAGATGGTGAACATCTCCATCCATCACCCCTGAGAGTTTCCTCTGTCCGTTGTCATCCCACCCTCCTGCCCTCCCTGTCACCCTGTCCTCGATCATTTGCTGATCTGCTTTCTGTCTCTAGGAAAGTTGTGAAATTAAATGTTGTACAAATAGATACATGAATAGACAGATAATGGAGCACACTAGAAAGTCCAGAAATAGATGAAATAAACAATGGACGTTTGTTTTATAAAGATGATATTTCAGATGGTTGGGGAACAGATGAATTTATTCAATAAAAAGTGTTGACAGTTGGGTAGCCACCTGGGGAAAAAAAATAAACCAATGTTGGATATATGCCTCACAACAAAATGTAAGGCAGAGCAGAGATTTAATATAAAAGAAATAAAACTACAAATTACTAAAAGAACCTTGGGGCACTTTTTATAGCTTCATATTGGAAAAGGCTTTTCTAAGTTTGTTTTCAAACCCAGAAACTATTTGTAGGAAAAGATTGAGAAATGTAAAAATGGCTAAATATTAAAATAAAATTTTCTACATGCCATAAAATAACTATAAAGTTTATTTATTTTATTGATTGATTTTAGAGAGAGGAAGAGAGAGAGACAGAGACATCAATTTGTTGTTCCACTTATTTAAGCATGCATTGGTTGACTCTTGTAAGTGCCCTGACTGGGATCAAACCCACAATCTTGGTGTATTGGAATGACATTCTAACAAACTGAGCTGCCCACTGGGGCTACCATAAAGTTTAAGGACTGAAAAAAGATTGAAATTCACATCAGAGATAAAAGGTTAATTTCTTTTATATAAAAATACTTTCTACAAATCAGTAAGAAAAGATCTACAACTCAATAGAAACATGTGGATATGGGTAGTTATAAATCATTTAATACAAATAGTTTGTAAACATGTGAGATGTTCATGCTCACTAAAGGTAAAAGAAGTACAAAGTAAAATGATAAAGAGAGCATTTTTTAGCTGTCATATTGTCAAAATCTGGACATTTGCTAGCACTGTGTGGCTAGGGTGTGGGAAATAGACACCTGCATGCATTGCAGGCCAGGTTCAAATTGGTACACTTTCCAAGGAAGCAGTTGGCAGGAGCTAGCAAACGTTTTCTGACCAGTGGTTTTACATCTAGGCCTGTAGCTTAGAAATGTATTTGCCCCTGTGGGAAATGACATGTGTAGTCATCTTTGTCTCAGTAAAAGATGTGGAAGTAATTGGAGAGGACTGGTGAACAGTTCATGAAATGTCTGGAATGGAACTGCAGACGGCCTTTGAAAGGAAGGTAATGGCTCATCATGCTCTGCATGGACAGTTCTGGAACATTGTTGTTAGAGAAGGAAGCCAGGTGCAGGCCAAGTGTGGAAGACGCTACCTTTCATGAAGAGGATGCAAATACATGTATGACCATGGTCATGCTCCTGAGACAGCTGGTGACAGTATTTGCCTTCTGGGAGGGAGGCCAGTCCTGGCATCCTTTAGTCATTTGTGTTCTCTGAGAATGAGTTTGCTATGCAGAAGATGAAATTACAGGTGGATAAATATAAGCAATCTGCTGACCATTAGGTCCAAAATTGCATGGTATTTGAAGCTTCTACGTGAAAGAACACTGAATTTTTAGCTCTTTTGTTTGGTCTTTTGGCTATGTATGTTAACTTTCTTTTCTAGGAGGTCAGCTTTGCCACAAAGCTGCACCACAGGAAAAGGACTAATATGTACTAATCAACAGCTATGTCTGGGTGCTAGGTGTTTTGTCTCCTTAATAGTGATATTAATGTACTCTTTCCATTCAAAGTGTTGACTTTCTCATTGCACGTTGAATCCTCATAACAATCTAAGGATTACTAGCTGGGATTATCTTCGTGTTGCAAAGAAAGCCTAAGGCACAGGGGTTTATTGTCTTGCTCAAGACCACATAGCCAAAAGGACACTTGGGCAGCAACACTTCATTCACCAGATTCCTTTCTTCAATAAATGTTCACTGGTCGTGGTTTCTAGGGTAATTGCTATTTTAGGGCCCTGGGCTGGAAAGAAGGTGAATTCAAGGTATTGTTTCACTTGAGAAAGTTTCTTAATATTCTGGAGCTGAAATTTCTCCCCCCTAAAAATAGAAGCTCTGTTTCTCAGGTTGGGGAGGAGCAAGGGAGAGGAGGACCCAGCATGGGGCAGATGCCACAGATGTTGGTTGAGTTCCAGTGGCTCACTGGTCACTTCACAGTCTCAACAGTTATGAAGCTGGGTTTAGTTTCATAACTTCAGTGTGTTGTGCTTCTGTCCTGGGAGTGTTTTTCTGCTCAAAAGTAAGGAATACTTTTGTGAGTCTAGTTTTGTGTGCCAGCCCCTCCTAGATCTGGGGCTGCAGGTATGTGTCCCCATATACCGTACATTCAGAATCCGATGTCATTCCTGGTGGGGTACTGCCTGTCCCCAGAAGCCCAGCCATGGCCCAGTGGGACTGAACACCTGTCACAATCCTCATGTTCATGTGCTGTATTGCTTTCAGATATTTCTCAGAGATTTCCTCTCTAATATATTTTTGACTTGTTTACTTTTGCCTTCTTAATATAAGATAGAAACTCAAGTTTCTGGTTATTATGTGTAATAGATTGGTCTGGCTTGCCCCTGTTCTAGAAAAACAGAGGCTTTTTATATGTTTTATTAATTTTTGTTTTGAATTATGTAATGGAAATCATGACATTGTTATTTATTTTTTCTCTCTCTAACCAGAAAACAGGGTCAACAAACCTTTTTGACTAGCTAAGCTACCAGAATAAACTTGATGCCTAAAATTAAATGCCCTTTTTGTGAGCAGGCACACCAAACTGAGGCCAAGCCACGATGGGACCATGTGGCCCACCCTCCCGGCCGTGGGAGCTGGTAGTGCCTCTGCGTGGTCCTGTTGTGAATACTCCAGGTTTCCTAACAGGCTCACCTAATCTTTTTCAGATGAAGATATCACCTGCTTCTCTTGCCAACCTTTATGAAGAAGATTTTAAACAGGATATGGCAGCCTTGAAGGTAAAGTAGGGTGTTGTTGATTCTCCTTGCCATGAGGATACGACACTTGAACAATGAAAGCGTCGTGGCTGACTTGCACTTTTGAACTGTGGAAATAGTCATCTCTCCTTTGCTTTCTTTCAGGTTCTCCCGCCCACTGTGTACTTGAGGGTAACTGAAAATATTCCTGAGATCATTTCTTTCATCGAAGGAATAATTGCTAATGGGCATGCTTATTCAACAGCAAAAGGTGGGGATTATGTTACGAACACTGATTGTTGGGTAATAGTGATAGGACTTTGAGGAACTGGACACGTATTTATGAGTTGTTGGAATGTGCCTAATGTTTTACTCTTTCTTGATGTGATTCCTACAGTGAAAATACTGTAGGTGATTGTCTTTGCAAAAATGGTTGCATCAATTCTTTTAAAAAATATTTTCCATGGTCCCAGGAAGAGATGACCATCTGGAGAGCTAGTCTAGACAAGACAAGTATGGCATAATGCTAACAGTTGCTCTAGATGGTAGGTGTGCAGGTGTTCTTTGTGTCTTCTTTCAAGTTTAAAATTTTTCATTTCAAAAAGTTGAGGACAGTGGCAGTACCTCTAAAGGTCCACTCCCTTGCGAAAGACTGGCCCTCAGACAGTCATCTCCTTGGTGGGCATGCTGTCTTTTGATGGACCAAAGAAAGAAAGCTGTGGACATCCTGACACTTCAGGGCCTCGATACTTCAACACGCATCTTTGAATAAAAGACATCACCCTGCATAACCCCGTTGTCATCCATGCTGAGATGCTGGACAGTTCCCTACTGGCATCCCCTGCCCTCTGCATATTCACATTTACCCTGCTGTCCACCACCTTCCTGCATCCTGATCTGATTCATGTCATGCACTGCACATGGTTGTGTCCCCCATCTCTTTAAGTTAGTCCCCACTTTGTTTTCCTCATTAGGGACTTGCTGGAGAGACCAGCCAGGCCAGTTGCCTGCAGAACACCCCATCTTCTGGATTTGTGTGACTGCTCACTTCCTAGTGGTGGAGCTTGCTTGGTTCAGGAGCTGCTGCTTTTTGTTTGGTGGCTTCAGGGAGGAAAGACTGGCCTCCTGACATTTTGTGCTTCAACGATTCAGTATTGTGTTCAGCTGTATCTCCTCTATTCCACGTCAAATCTAAATCCTACTTTCTCTCTCCCAGAGAGTTTTCTTTACTACCTGTAGCTGTAAAGCTCCCCTTCTCAACTTGTAGATATCTGTACTGTACCATTTGGTAGCCAAGCATATGCTGCCTCAGCTTGCTGTCAGTGTATTCATATTTTGTCAGTTCTTGGACCAGGAAAACCTTTTGCTTTGAGCAAATAACCCATTAGATACCTAGCTCAGGGTTGGGAGTTATCAGGTTCTAAAATGCTTGTTGCAAGTCAGTAACAAAGTACAAGCATGATACTGTACATGACTTATAGGGATTCTGGGACTGTAAGCACCTTTTTTTTTTTTTAATTTTTTTTTCCCTTTATTGATTTTTTTTAGAGGGAGGGGGGGAGAGGGAGAGAAACATTGATGAGAGAGAACATGGATTGGCCGCCTCCGGCATGCCTCCCACTGGGTATCAGGCCCACAACCTGGGCATGTGCCCTGACCGGGAATTGAACCGGTGACCTCTTGGTGCATGGGTTGACGCTCAGCCACTGAGCCACACCGGCCTGGCTATAAGCACCTTTTGTGGTCCTACCCCAGAACACAAGATACATGAGGGGGGCCCTCTGGCCCCTGGAAACGTGTGTAGCCTTTCTCATAGCCTATGCATGCAGAAGGACTTGTAGTCTTTTACTTTATCTTATTTCCTATATTTAGATTTTGTTTCCAGGAAAAATTTGTTTTAAAGGGCTTAAGGTGACTGAACTGCAATTGGCTCCAGAAATATAGGAATTGTTTTCCTGCTATCATGTAACATGAAATAAGACATATAACCCAGATAAACTGCTTAGAGATCCTCATCCAAACATGCTTTAGGAATAAATGCTGTGTGTTTTATTACTATGCTTTATTGTAAAAATTTAATAATGGTAACAAATATAATTAACTTAAAATAAATTTCACTTACTGAAACTCCATTAATATGGACTTTGTGACAGTTTCACAAAGCTTGGTTGTAGTTTGATCTTTGAACTATTTGTGAAGAAACAATTTGTTCAGCAAATTGATACCATAAATAGATATGGGGAAAATGTTTCTTCCATTAAAGGGAGCAGTTTCTTTCTCTTTTAAAGCATGTTCAAGTGCTATTTACATTCTAACTTATCCCAGAATACTTCTTCCTTTTTCACCAGTTTACCCCAGCTTGTAATTAGATCCCAGGAATAAGCCCTGAGTGAAGAGGAAGGACTCTGAGTGCCTGGGCTCTCTTTCCCAGCAGCCCCGGTGTGAGCTCAGGTCAGGACTGTCATCTTGCAGGAGCTCCCGCCCTGACACCGCCTCCCCTGCACTGCCTCTTTATACATTACAGTTGGAAGTCGCAAGGGCTGGCCCTGGCTCTGCAGTGACCTCATGGTGAAGGTCATCTTGCCCCCTCAGTCTAAAAACGTGGACCTTATGCACCTCAGTGAAAGGACAGCCACAGGGATGCTTGAGTGGGGTAATCTTTGTAACCTAAGTGAAAAGACAATCATGGAGGATCTCTGGTTAGGACAGGGTTTCTCTGTTGATTGGTGTATAACATGAAGCCCAGAGTTGAATGCAGGCCAATGATAACACTCTCTTTTGCTTTTTCTTCTTTTTTATCCCGAGGACATTTTTTCCATTTTTTGTTCAGGTAGAGTGGGAGGGAGAGAGAGAAACATCGATGTGAAAGGAACACATCGAGTGGCTGCCACCCGCACAACCGACCAGGGCCGGGGACAAACTGCAACTGAGGTATGTGCCCTTAGCAGGAACCAAACCCGGGTCTCTCAGGACCGCAGGCCGACGCTCTAACCACTGAGCCAAACCGGCCAGGGCTGCTTTTTCTTCTTAAAAAAGAATTGCCTCAACATTTGACACAGAACTTACCCTTGTGTTTTCACTTTTACATCCAGACATTCGTGATGTATCCAAATGCATGCTTTTTTTTTTTTATCCTTACCCGAGGACATTTTTCCATTTTTTGTTCAGGTAGAGTGGGAGGAAGAGAGAGGAACAGAGAGAGAGAGAGAGAGAGAAACATCGATGTGAAAGGAACACATCGAGTGGCTGCCACCCGCACGACTGACCAGGGCCGGGGACAAACTGCAACCGAGGTACGTGCCCTTAGCGGGAACCGAACCCGGGTCTCTCTGGACCGCAGGCTGATGCTCTAACCGCTGAGCCAAACCAGCCAGGGCCATGCTTTTAAAAAATAGCACTGGTGATGTTAATTCTGATTTTAAAATACAGTAAAAGGGGCCAAATGAGGGCCAGATGCCATATTCTATGTTTAAATTCTAATTACTTGTTAGCTATTATGTAACTTGTATGGTGCTGATATGTAAGACTGAGAAATGATGAAATCATAATTACCTTTATAAAACAGGCAACGTCTACTTCGATCTGCAGTCGAGAGGAGACAAGTATGGCAAACTGGTCGGCGTGGCTCCTGGTCCTGTTGCAGAGCCAGGTAGGTCGAGCCTCGTTCTCCAATCTCGGAGGGTTTGGGGGCGCTGAGGCACAGACTTGGCTTCTGCTTTCCCATTGCTCAGTGGAGACCCCTACTCTCTCAGAGGTGGTGATGATGCCAGAGAGTTGATCACAGTTGTGTTTTAAATTTTGTTTTTTCAAATAGAGAAACCTTGTAGAGTATATAGGTCGCACAGCTTGTGACACCTCCCCTCTCCACTTCTGCCTGGTTCTCCAGCTTTTCTCCCTGGAGACAGCACATTCGCATATGAAACGTGCATGTTAGATTTCTTCATGTGCTGTCAAGGCTTGATAGCTCATTTCTTTTTAGCACTGAATAATATTCCATTATCTAGAATATACTTAGCATGGTTTATCTGTCCATGCACTTACTGAAGGATATCTTGGTGGTTTCCAAGTTTTGGAATGTAAAGAGAGCCCAATACTGGCTCATTGTATAACCTTCAACAATAACCTAACCTTTCTCTTCTGAGTCTCTTTACTCTTTGGAATGTGGTTGATATTCTGGTAATTTTCCTTTTTTTTTTTTTTTTTTTTTTTTTTTTTTTTTTATCCTCACCCGAGGACACTTTTTCATTCTTTGTTCAGATAGAGCAGGAGGGAGAGAGAGAGAGAAACATCGATGTGAAAGGGACACATCGAGTGGCTGCCACCCGCACGACCAACCAGGGCCGGGGACAAACTGCAACCGAGGTACATGCCCTTAGCGGGAACCGAACCCGGGTCTCTCCGGACCGCAGGCCAACGCTCTAACCGCTGAGCCAAACCGGCCAGGGCTAATTTTCCTTTTTTACTCTATATGATTTTTTTGGGGGAAAGTCACTCAAACTTAGTTACTAATAAATACAGCTTTCTCACGAGACAGACTATGGAAGCATGAGAGTGCTCAGGTCAGCACATCCCTCGGAAAGAAGTATGACTGCGCGTATTTGAAATCTCAACTCATTCATTATTCGACATACTGACACCGATAGACCTCATGTTACTGGCATATTTTAGGCAAAAGTATTTAGTAGTCCTTCTAGCCATCATGTGGGGAAAGAAAAAAACATATGAATGAGAAGTGTGAGGTTACTTATAAAAAGGAACAGAATCTTAGGGAAGAGCTTCAGTTTTGTGGTGACTTGAGGTTGGCTTATCCAGTCTAGGTTCTCCCTTATTGATCAACCACTTATTTGTTATTGGCAGGTGATTCTGACAAGCGGCATGCCAGCGACTTTGCCCTGTGGAAGGCAGCTAAACCCCAGGAGATATTTTGGGCCTCTCCTTGGGGAAACGGAAGACCTGGCTGGCATATCGAATGTTCTACCATCTCAAGGTAAGGTTTTCCTGGATTCTTCCTGTGTTTGTGTAGATGTGAAAGCTCTAGCAGTGCCTGGCTTGGTCAGTAGAGGGCGCAAGTGGGGCAAGTTTGGTCTCGCTAATGCAGACAAAATAGGCAATTGGGGAAGAAAGCTTAGCGCTCAGATGGGACTGGCTGTAAGGGACACAAGCCATTTCCTACAAGCCAGCTCCAGGTTGCTTTCATCTCTCTGCTGAGGTGGGTTTAGGGAACACTAACCCTGTGGCTGAGGGCCTGGGCGAGGACAGAGCCCCTCAGAGACAGGGGCCAAACCACCTTCCTCTTACCTGGTCTCTCAGTCCACAGACTCACCGCCAAAGCTTGATGAGATCCCATTGATTGTCACCCTCAGTTTCCATGTGTCTGGCTCCCAGTCTTTGATTTGCCTTTTCCACTAGTTCTTCACCTCAGTCAGCACCATGCTCAGGATGCTTCTGTCTTGGGACTCTCCATAAACACAGGTCCTCCTTTGATTCTGAACCCTCCTTTTTGTTTGCTTCTCTTGTCACCATCTACATGTGACTCTTTCATCCCAGGCATCCCCGCTGACTCTGGTCTCCTGAGGTCACCTGGTCAGTGACAGGCAGCCTGATGCTCCTGTTTTTTCCTTGGCCTCTGGGAAACAACTCTCTTCTGGTTTTGGCATCTCTGCTGGGGCCTCCCCCACCTTCTGTTTGATGTCCTCTGCAGACTTCCTTTGGCACTCCCCTTGGTTCTGCCCCTGGCCGCATGCCCCTTTGTGTATGTGTGTTACTGAAGGCAGCATACCGCATATGCTGTCCTGTTCCGTCCCCTTTCACTTAGCAGTCTACCCCAGGAATTCCCTTGTCTCAGTGTGCTGAGCTCTTCATCACTTGTCTCGCTGGTCATGGTGCTGTGTTGTGTGGCTTACGCACTGTTCACTCTGCTAGTACCCTGTGGAGGAGCGTTTGGGTGTTCTCAATACTTTGCTCTTACAGATACCTGCAGTGAATAACCTTGTGTAAGTATTTCCTGTTTGTGGAGGTGAGGGGTTTTCAAGTATCATATTAACTCATAGATATTGATATATTTGATGTGTTTTAGTTCATTGCAAATATTTATTATAATTTTTGTAGTGGAGTTATAATAAGATTTCAAAATTAAAAACAAAGTATGCTTAAGGTGAACATTTCAAACAACTAGCTACACCAAAAATTTTCAGATCAACCAACCCAGTCACCCTCAAATTGGTTGTTGCATGTGGTGCTGTTTTCCAGCTGGGTAGAAACGTATGCATTAGCAGGGGTAACTTCTCCTGTAAGAGCACTCTGCCCTGCGCACCGACCCCACACTGGTTTCATTTTCAGCCCCACGTATGTTTACCCCATGCTACCAGATGGAAAAGCCTCATCCTCCATGGCCTGTTCATCCACATGTTGTTCATTCTAGTTAAGACCCAGAAGGCCTTCTCCGTTTCTACCCTTCCCCCACAGCTGCCATCACCTTTGATGATTTCTACATGGCCCATCTAGAAACACACCCAGGAATTCCTGAGACATCAAACTCACATGTTACTATGAAGCATGGGTCCAACTTTTCATTAAAAACAAACAACTATGTTCAGCTCTCAGTCATACATAAATACATAACCTCTCATATGTATTTATAAATACTTTTGGTTTAACAGCAATGTGGGGTATACATTGGATTGTAAAACATATTTTTAGATTAATTAGTTACTTTTAAAGTAGGTAGAAAGCATTTAATAAATTATAAATCTTTTGTTACCATTACATACCATTTTTTTTTTTTTTAAATCTAAAAAATGAAAATAGGCTTTTATTCCTTCTCAGTTTTCTCTTATTTTAAAATAGGTCTAATGACAACATGAAGGTACCTGGAGAGTATTATGCTAAGCAAAATAAGCCAGTCAGAGAAAGACAAGTACCACATGATCTCACTTATTTGTAGAACATAATGAACAGAATAAGCTGTTGATGAAAAGAGATCCAGAATCATGGAAGTAGGGAACAGAATGACAAACCTCAGAGGGATAGGGCGGGTGGGAAGGGAGGGAAGAGATAAACCAAAGAACTTATATGCAAAACCAATCAACATGGACAGTAGGCTAGGGAAGGTGGGGTGGGGGGAGTGGGAAAGAGGGGGTCAGTAGGGAAAAAGGGGGAACACCTGTAATACTTTTAATAATAATAATAATAAAATAAATAAAATAGGTCTAATGTACAGACAAGAGTAGAGACTAATACAGTGAACACCATGGACCTATAGTTTAACTTTATTAAATCTTAACATCATCGTATTTACTTTGGTTCGTTGTAAAAATGAATCACTCAGTACGAATGAGGCCCCTTATGCTCGCCTGCCCAATCCCGGTCCCTCCCACGTCACACTCTTCTTCAGAGCATTTGAATTGCAAGGACTGTAAGAGATTCTCTAAAACCCGTCACTGAGGATGTACAATAACATAACCTGCTCAGCCACAGTGCGTATCTCTACCGCCATGTGACTGGGACACGTGCAGATTTTTCTGGAGCCTGGGAGCCAGTGGCAGAAGAGTCAATCTTCAGCTGGAAGGGACCTCAGCAAGGCTATGACATCTTTGAAAATGTCTATTTTGACCATTTTTAGAAAATTCACGATCGTCTGTGCTCCAGCCTCGTTGTCTGGTGGGGAACGTGGCCTCATCACCCCAGCCCCCACAAGCCAGCATTTCCGCTGTGCTGATTGTTGTGTTTGTAATCGACTTTTGCATTTTTAATGTCTTCTGAAGCAGCCGCTGGTGAACTGGATTGTTCCTACTGGAACAGGTTGTTTTTGCAGGTGGTCAGGTGAGAGGTGCACAGGCTTTGAGTGGTCTGCCAGCCGCACTGTCCCGCCAGCCACTTAGTTACGGTGTGCAGCTTGGTAAGGCGGGAGATTCTCCAGGATGAATAGCAGAGCATTGTGGAGGAAATGCCGACAGTCGTGCTCTGATTTGAATTCTGTTTGTGAAATATGACCACTAAATATTTAAATTTTCAAAAGCCAAATGAAAATTTCTCTTGGTTTTTTAGTTCTGTCTCACTTGTTAAAGTTGGAAAACTGCTAAACTTAACCTACTGAAAGTAAGAAAAGGTAATTTTGTAAGTTTTTAAAAAACATGTATTTGGAGCAAAGAATGAAAATTTTTTTACTAGGAGGAAAAGCTATGAATTAGGGATTTTTATGAATCAAGTATCTTTAGTAAGAGGAGAAGCTATGGATGAGGAATTTTATGGAGTAAAGACAGAATTTTAGTTTCTGTTTGCATCAGTTAAATTTTCACACATGTTGATTTAAAATTGAGATCTATTTTATTTAGTGCACAAAGACTGGAAGGGTTAAACATAAGATGAGGTTTGGAGAAACATGTTTTCTGATTGAATTAATTCACGGCTCTGTGCTGTGTCTTGCAGTTTGGTGTTTGGAAGTCAACTGGATATTCATTCAGGTGGGATAGACCTAGCTTTTCCGCATCATGAAAATGAAATCGCACAGTGTGAGGTCTTTCATCAGTGCCAACAATGGGGAAATTATTTTCTACATTCTGGTAAGTAATGGCTTCACATCAATTTGTTCAGTTTCAGTTCTGTCAATTTCTTTTTTTACTGGTGAAACAGCTACATTTGGAAATACATAGATCAGCTAAAATAGGTCAAGAAATGGAGTTGTCTCCTAAATTGGTTTTTGAATTTCTGTCAGTTGGACATGAATTTCCTTGGGTAGGAATGAGTCTGCCTCTTTGGAACTGAACTATGAATGACAAGACTATGGAAAAGGTTTTACAGTGCTGTTCTATATAAGTTTCTTTCTAATAAAACTATTAAGGAATTTAAAATAGTATGATGTAATCATTATATTAGGAATATGCCAATTTTGAGCTATAATATTATGGCCATATCTATCTGTCCTCCTTTAATACCACTGCCTCTCATTTTACTATTCAAAAAACATAGTTGGTTAACACCAGCCATTTGTTCTCGGAAGTAGACTGTGAAACAAACAGCATCCTTGAGCATAGCCATTTTGGAATTTCCTTTGATGCATGGGAAGATTCATATGTCCAAATTTTGACAAAGGTCGTGGGGGCAACGACGAACTGGTTTTATTACCTTTTTGGAATGGACAGCTAAGGTATTTGGGGTGAAGAAAGATAAAGGGTTTTTGGTAGTGATAGGGTTGGGAGATGAAGATAATCAACATCTAAAATACAGCGCATTAACAATAACATTTCTTTAAGTCCTTGAATTAAGGAAGTTAGGTTTGTCTAGTGAAATAATGTTAAATGCAGAGACACTCCAGTTTTATAATATGCAGTAGGCTGCTTAAAGTCCGAAGTAAGGATTCACTTGGGTTTTTTTCATGGCAGTAAATGGATGAGGCTGCTCGCCCCGAAGGGCATTTACTGCAGTGTCTCCTTTACTCCTAAAGTGTCCTGGGTGTCATTCCCACCCTCGCTGTGTGTGTGCTAAAGATGCCCCGGGAACTAACATCTCCATCCTTTGCAGTGACCTATAGTGTGTTAAAGCAGTCTGAAAGCAAACAAAGCTGGCCCTGGCCTATTTGGCTCGGTGGTTAGAGCGTCGGCCTTTGGACCAAAAGGGTCACGGGTTTGATTCCTGATCAAGGTCACGTCCCTGGGTTACAGGTTGGATCCCCTGGGGTGAATTTGGGAGGCAACCAATCAATGTGTCTCTCTCACATTGATCTTTCTCTCTCTCTCCCTCCCTCCCTCCCTCCCTCCCTCCCTCCCACTCTCTCTCAAAAATCAATGAAAAAAATATCTTCAGGTGAGGATTAACAAAAAAAGAAAGAAACAAAGCTGGCCCAAATGCTGTGTATGGCACACGAGCTGTTTGTTCTCTAGTACTCCATTTAATTTTCCTGGATAGAACTCAGCAGTAGCCAAAATCCACTTCATTTTTGCCCGCGATGTGCCTTACTACACAGATTCCCTAAATGAAGGCAACGGCCTGGCTGGTGTGGCTCAGTGATTGAGCCTCAGCCCTTGCACCAGGAGGTTGCCGGTTCAATTCCTGGTCAGGGCACATGCCTGATCCCCAGTGGGGGGCATGCAGGAGGGGGGCCAGTTGATGTTCTCTCTCATCGATGTTTCTTTCTTTCTCCCTCTCCCTTCCTCTCTCTCTAAAATCAATAAAGAAAAAAAATTTTTTTTTCAATATATAGTATAATTACCAAACAAAATAATAATAGTAAATGAAGGACAAAGGCCTGCTTATCCTGGTTTCATTTTTTTCCCTCCACCATATTTTCTGTTTGGGAAGTTAGAGCTTGATCCCTCCGCATACACTGCATGAGTTAATGCTCGTGAGGAGTTACGGTTTGCTGTGAACACTGGGAAATGCAGGGTGCCCTTCAGTGAACTGTGGATCTAGGGATCACAAAGGTAATTCAGTAGTACTAATACTGACACCTCTTCAGGCTCTGTCAGTTAATGACGAGGTGTTCGGTGTCCATAAAACAGCAGGTCTTGTTTACCTTTGAACATGAGAATGGGAAAGGGCTTTTGTTACTGTGTGTTGTTGTGACTCTTACCACCTGTTAAGGCACTGGACTCTTCTTTGTTCTACTTGTGCCCTGTTCTGGAGAAACGGCACTGTCTCCTAACACACAGCAGAATGAATCCTTTTTATAAAAAAACTAAATTCATTGGGGTAACATTGGTTAATAATTATATGCTTCAAGTATACAATTCTATAATACATCATCTATATAAAAATACATCATCACTACCCAAAATCTAGTTTCTGTCATCATACATTTGACCTCCTTTACCTTTTAAAAAAAATTTTTTTTTCCCTTTATTGATTTTAGAGAGAGAGAGAAACATCAGTGAGAGAGAACATCGATTGGCTGCCTCTTACATGCCCCTTATTGGGGTTCAGGCCCCCAACCTGGGCATGTGTCCTGACCAGGAATCGAACTGGTGACCTCTTGGTGCATGGGACGATGCTCAACCACTGAGCCACACTGGCCAGAATCCTGTACCTTTTTCATTCTCCACCCACCCTCCTTCCTTTCTGGTAACCACCACACTGTTTTCTGTGTCTATGAAATTACTTGTTTGTTACTTTCTGTTTTATATCCCACATATGAGTAAAATCATATGATTCTTGTCCTTTTCCGTCTGAATTAGTTCACTTAGTATGGTGCTCTCAAGATCCACCCATGTTATTGCAAATGGCAGTATTTTATCATTTTTATGGCTGAGTCGTACATATGTACCATTGTTTATATGTACCACATCTTCTTTATCCAGTCATCCATCAAAAGACACTTAGGTTGCTTCCATGCCTTGGCCACCATGAATAATGTTGCAGTGAACAGAGCAGTACATATGTCTTTACATTAATACTGTTTTTCTGAAATAAATGGTTGGAAGATAGAGTTAATCAGTCACTTGTGTCATTTTCCAGATATTGTCAACTTAAAAAAAATTAATTGTGCTTGGTGCATATGACACGTTATGTGGTATCACATAGTAAAGGTGACATTTCTTTTTGGAAGCCACGTTTTTACCAGTTCTCGGGAAAACAGGCCCTGCAGCCAATTTTTGTGTTTAAAGTCATGTCAGAAAAAGCTGAAGCATCTTATTAGGAAAGGAGAGGCCCTCCCTTTGAAGTGAGCCTTATGAAAACACAGCCCAGGAAGAATTCCAGGCTCCCACTGAGAAGTGTCTGACACATGGGTTTGGTTTTCCTCGGGCCTTTCACATAGATGGGGTGAAGTGATACCAAGGTCTTGATAAGTCTGTGAAATCCAATTGCAAGAGAAAATCTAATGACTCACTCCTGGAGACCTGCAAGCCCTACATTGCGATTCTGAACATCTGTAAACAAGCTTTCATTGCCTGGTGCCTGGTTTGTAAAACCAGAGATTTGTCATGTTTTCAGGTGTTGGGTCAGTTAAATTGTTTCTAATTTACAGGAAAGGGGGAAAGTGTGAACTGTTTCTGTGAGTGTCACGGTTCATCTGCTCTTGTCTGAGTTCCGAGTCAGCAGTGGTTCCATCCATCGCCCACTGTGGGCTGGGTGGAAGCGGCACAGCTGTGGGTTCCATCTTCCTGGAGGGTCGACTGTGGGTGAAGATTTGGGGGAAATCTTATATCCACATATACATGGGTATTTGCATATTGGAGAATGCAGCCCTTTGGCTCAGGCGTCTGTTGGAGAAGCTCCCGCTTCAACTTCTTGCCCTCTCCAGATGGGAGGGAGGAGTCCCTCTCTGCCCACCCACTTCAGAACTGATGACTTTGCTTTTGTTTCAGGACATTTGCATGTGAAAGGCAAGGAAGAAAAAATGTCCAAATCCCTGAAAAACTACATCACTATTAAGGTAAGGAGCTCTCCATAGCGCCTGCATTGCTGCCAGCTTGCTGCACCTGTGTCAGAAGATGTGCGTGAGACCCACATCTCTGTCCCAGTTTCCCTGCCCCCTTTCTCCCTGGCCCAAGGGGCTTCTACTTTGGGGTTTAAATTACTCTCTTTTTGCCTTTTTTTTTTTTAATCCCCACCCAAGGACATTTTTGCATTTTATCTTCAGATAGATTGGGAGGGAGAGAGGGATGAAGAGAGAGAGAGAAACATCGATGTGAGAGAGACACATCGAGTGGCTGCCACCCACATGACCCCAACTGGGGCTGCCATCCACATGACCCCAACTGGGGCCGGGGACAAACTGCAACCGAGGTGCGAGGTGTGTGCCGTGCCCTTAGCGGGAACCGAACCTGGGCCTCTCTGGTCCGCAGGCCGACACTCTAACCGCTGAACCAAACCGACCAGGGCGAGAATTCGCCTTTTAAAATTGTATTTTTTGGTCATTCTTAGTATATTCACAGAGTTGTACAACCTTTACCACTATTTAATTAAAGAACATTTCATTACCTCGAAAAGAAACTCCACATCCTAACAGTCACTTCTCATTCCCTGTCCCCTGCAGCCCCTGGCAACCACAAGTCCTTTCAGTTTCTGCAGACCTCCCTGTTCTGGGCTTGCATTCTTTTTACTCTTAGACGATGTCCCGCGGATGTTTTAGGGTCAGAATACACATGTACAGTCAGAGTTTAATTATTTTCTCTGAGTGGTGTCCCCTTTGCTACATAGCAGGCTCGTGTGTTCAGTTTGTTTCCAGTTGGATGGTATCTTCCCTCTTTTTTGATCCACCTTATTTTTCAAATATGTCAGACATTGTCAGGGTTTGGCAGTTAACACTATGAAGAGAAGCTTAGACATTGAGCCTTCCTTGCACCCTTTCACCCATCTCTGTAGTAATTGTTAGGTTTGTTCCTGGGTTGTTTTTTCAGGTTTCAGTTTACAAAAATAAGACATCTGTATAGGAATTTTCTACTCCTTCTTACACTGATGCAATATATGATATATCCTGTAATGACTATACCCTCCCCCCAACAATATAAGTAATGTTATACTTTGATTGTAGAAGTAATGTATTTTGTTGCAGAAAGTTTGAAAAGTACAGACAAGGCAAAGCAGCACATGGTAGGAAGTGCAGAGGTACAAATGTGGGAAGCATAGTTCCTTGCAGCCCAGCTGTTTCCTCCTACAGCAGCTGTTATGAGTTTCTTAGAAGGCACAGTGTGTGTGTGTATGTTTACATGTCTCTAGAAACATATTTCTCATTTTTTTTCTTTCCACACAAGTGGTGGCAGTGTTTGCACTTGCTTTATTTACTTATGAGTCTTTTGCATTAATCAGTTTTCTTCCATATGGAGTTAATTCTCCTGAATGGCTGAGTCATTCATTGTTGGGTGCACCTTAATTTAAATGATACCCTCTTGATGGCCACTTACATCAAATTTTCTACTGGGGTATGTGCATTTAAAGCTTTCATACATTACAAAGTCTGCATTACTTTTCATGACCACTTAGTGGTCCACTGGGGTGCCATACCAGGGCTGAGTTATTTCCCTGCGGTTGGACTTTGTAGGAGATCTGCATTCTAGTCTCCAATACTGGGACGAGTACACATTTGCACACCCAGTGATTAATAACACAGGGTAGCTGTCCATCGGGGGATGGCACACGTGCAGAATGTTCTGGATACAACCTCTGATAATTTAGCAGTTCGTGTCACCTACATTCCCACCATCAGTGTAGGAAAGTGTCCATTTTCCTTGCCCACTCAAACTTAGAAGAATCCTAATCAGGTTAACATTTTTCCTGTCAATTTGGTGAAAAATGAAAACTTAAAATTTAAATGTCCATTTCTTTATTACGGTATATTTGCTGTACATATTTATTGGCTTTTTATTTTGTGTTTTTGACTAGTCTACAACCTCCCATGGCCCATACTTCCTAGAAGATGTTAAGCTGTTGCCCTATAGGTTAAAAATATTTGTCTGCTTCCTGGTTTCTGGCTGAAGAAAGTTTTCCTGCCTGTCCTCATTATGTTGGAGACTACCAGTGGGTTTTTATAACACAGGCACACCTCACTTTATTGTGCTTTGCTTCACTGGGCTTCACAGATGTTGCATTTTTTTTCTTACAAATTGAAGGCAAGATCCTTCACCAACAAAAATATTATGACTTGCTTTGTTGCAATACTGCCTTTATTGCAGTGGTTTGGAACTCAACCCACAATATCTCCAAGGTATGCCTATAGTCTGCATGAAAACTTTTGATTCTGTCTAGTTAACAGAGACTATAGGTAATGTGAAAGGAGCTGAACTTTTAGAGTTCAGATAATGGCTCAAAACTGGCCTTTTTAAATTAGTAGGTTCTCAGCCCAGCCCGTGTGGCTCAGTGGATTGAGTGTCGTCCCATGGACTGTGAAGTCCTGGTTCGATTCCCGGTCAGGGCACACGCCCAAGTTGTGGGCTCCATCCCTGGTGGGGGGCGTGCAGGAGGCAGAGGAGGCAGCCAATTGATGTTTCTCACATCGTGTTTCTCTCTCTCGCTTCCTTCTCATCTCTCTAAAATATCAAGAAAAACATATGGAAAATAAAATAAAATAGTAGGTTATCATTTGAGACCAATTATTTAACTTCCCAAAGCCTTCGTTTTTTATTCTTTTTTTTTAATTTTTTTTTTTTTATCCTCACCTGAGGACATTTTTCTATTTTTTGTTCAGATACAGTTGGGGGGAGAGAGAGGAAGAGAGAGAAAGAGAGAAACATCGATGTGAAAGGAACACATCGAGTGGCTGCCACCCGCACAACCAACCAGGGCCGGGGACAAACTGCAACCGAGGTACATGCCCTTAGCGGGAACCGAACCCGGGTCTCTCAGGACCGCAGGCCGACACTCTAACCACTGAGCCAAACCGGCCAGGGCTCGTTTTTTATTCTTTACAATGAGATGACAACCCCTATTTTGTGGGGTTCCTGGGCAGGTGAATTTATGTAAAATGCCAAGTCCGTGTGGGCCTGAGCCAGGCCAGCAGTCACTCCTTCCCTAGTCCACAGCTTTCCCAGTGGTGCTGGGGTAAATAAGACCTGGCATTGTAGGCAGTGCACCCCGGCTTCCTGCTAGCATGCGCCCCCTTACCTGGTGAGCTCACAAGAGAGCTTTTTACCTTTGCTGCCTGATGGCTGGGCCCAGGCACTCGCCTCCCTCCCTCGGAGAGACTTCCAGCAGATTTACCCAGGTCTTGTCACATTTCACCCTCAGGACGCCCTGGCCATGCTGTGTGGTGGAGCCAGAGCAGTGCAGGAACAGTGATGTCAGAGCATAGGGCAGGAGCACGTTAAAACATTCATGCCCTCGAAACTGCCATGTGGAGACCTTGTCACATTGACAGGTATCCATAGCAATAAGGAAGAAGGTAAAATGCTTTCCCCTCTTCCTGTGTTATTTCTTCCCCGTCATTAAAAAAAAAAGTTTGTTTTGTTAATCCTCATTCGAGGATATTTTTCCCATTGATTTTTTTTTTTTATCCTCACCCAAGGACATTTTTGCATTTATCTTCAGATAGAGCGGGAAGGAGAGAGGGAGAGAGAGAGAGAAACATCGATGTGAGAGAGACACATCAACTGGCTGCCACCCACACAACCCCATGGGGACAGGGACAAACTGCAACCAAGGTACGTGCCCTTAGCGGGAACCAAACCAGGAACTCTCTGGTCTGCAGGCCAACACTCTAACCGCTAAGCCAAACCATCCAGGGCCCATTTATTTTTTAGAGTGCATGGAAGGGAGGGAGGAAGGGAGGGAAAAGACGCATCAATTGGTTACCTCCTGAATATGCTCCAACTGGAGCCTGGGATGGAACCTGCAACACAGGTACATGCCCTTGACCAGGAATCAAACCTGTGTGATCCTTTGGTGTGCAGGTCAACACGCTAACCACTGAACCACATTGGCCAGGGCTCCTTCTGTCTTTTTTGAGGTATAATTAACAAATAGAATTATATATATTTACAGTGTACAATGTGATGGTAGATACACATTGTGAAATATTTACCACATTCAGGTTAACATATCCATCACCTCACATAGTTACTTGGGGATGTGTGTGTGTGTGTGTGTGTGTGTTGAGAATGCTTAAGACCTATTTTCTTTTTTTAAATTAATTAATTTATTTTTGTTACAGATGTTTCTCCTTTCCCCCCCACTGATTCCCCCCTCCCCCCCTGCCCTGTCCCCAGCTTTGTTGTCCATGTCCGTTGTTCATATATACATGCATATGAGTTCTGTGGTTTATCTCTCCCCCAGCCCCCCCTCTTCTGGGGATTGTCAGTCTGTACCCCACTTCCACATCTCTGGGACTACCCTGTTCCTCAGACTGTTATGTTCATTATATTCCACAAATAAGTGAGATCATATGATACTTGTCTTTCTCTGTTTGGCTTGTTTCGCTTAGGATAATACCTTCCAGGTCCCTCCTTGTAGTCTCAAAGGATAAGAGATCTTTCTTTCTTACAGCTGCATAGTACTCCATTGTGTATATGTACCACAGCTTTTTTATCCATTCGTCTACTGATGGACACTTGGGCTGTTTCCAGATCTTAGCTATTGTAAATAGTGCTGCTACAAACATGGGGGTACAAATATTCTTTCTGATTGGTGTTTCAGGCTTCTTAGGGTATATTCCTAGAAGTGGGATCACTGGGTCAAATGGAAGTTCAATTTTTAATTTTTTGAGGTAACACAATATTGTTTTCCATAGTGGCTGCACCAGTCTGCATTCCCACCAGCAGTGTACTAGAGTCCCCTTTTCTCCACACCCTCGCCAACACTTGTTGTTTGATGATTTGTTGATGGCGACCATTCTGACAGGTGTGAGGTGATCCCTCATTGTTGTTTTAATTTGCATCTCACTGATGATTAGTGATGTTGAGCATTTCTTCATATGTCTCTTAGTCATTTGTATGTCCTGTT